CTAACGACACGATAGCTACGCGGGGAGCATGCAATGATTTGACAAGCTGGTCAAATGTATACGCGAGAGAAATGCCTGATGAGGGGACAAGTTACTTTGACGGTCGGTGTCTTACACTGACTTTATATTCGGAAGCAGTAGCTGGGCGTGTCAAGTGATGCGGCTCTGCTGTCTCGACAAGGTCAATCAGGAGGGTGTGCTGCGTACTACGCAAAAGCATGTTCATCGTTCACCACCTCCACATCTTTCTGCATATGCGGTTGATGTTCTCCCGCCTGCGCGTCGAGCATCTGGGTTGTGGACATGCGGACATCATTTGGATGTACGACCAACCCATGCATTACACCGCTTATGCAGTATTGTAAACCGGGGAGCGGGCGACCCCGCGCACATCCGATACGACATTCCGATGTTGTCAGCCCGACGCCACCACCCCGATACAACCGTCCGTGCGACTCTTCGTTGGTTTTATGATAATATCCGTGCGACAAACAAATCGGGTTCGTACATGCTTCCAGCTCCCGATTTGTCTCGCAGACGATGACCGACCAGCCCGCTCCAGCTCCATGTCGTGCGCAAAACCTTGGATCATCAACACGCTTGTCTGCGGCTGGCTCATGTGTCAGGTCTCCCCTTATCTGCCGGGGAACGCCAGATGACGGCCACGTTTGCCAATTTCCGTCCTTGAATTCTGGCTGTTCATGCCGCGTCTTATAGGGCCTGATGACTGGAATGTGACAAGGGGACTCCTGGACAGCCAGCGCGAGCTATTTCCAGTGTTATGCAAGGAGAGCAGCATCATTCTTGTTTCGAACATTACTGGATTGCTTTCCCGCGAAGAGCGGTGCTGATCAGCCTTTGAATGCCATGGAGTATCAACGTTCCGCAAAAGACGAAAGAGTAGGAGTGTCGTATTCTGATCTTATTATGTCGCAGATTCGGCAGCGCTTGGAAGAGATAGCCGACTCCCAAATACGAATATCATCAGCAAGAAAACAATTATTAGTCAAACGCGAAAGGCTAAGGACCAACAGCCGCGTAGTCCAACTGAAGAGGGTCGATGCTGGAGATGCGGAAGCCGCGTTCATGAGCCGAATAAGAGAGTTCCTCAACGACCACCCGGGCGAACTCTCAAGTCTGCTTCAAGACGCATACGAAAAGGTGGAAAAAGCCCGCGATGATCTAGGGGAAACAGAACAGAACTATCTGGAAGATGAGAGCGATTTGACTGGCGCCGAGTGGATGTTCATGGACCAAGAAGACCGATTCTATCAGTGGGATATCCACAGCATCCTCCCCGACGAAAACAACGCAGACACTACCTTTACAATAGGGAACTTGAGTGAAACTATTCCACATACTTCAGCTTATAGTACACCCCTACCTTCGACAGGATCGCCATCCCCGGACCAGTTCTTACCACCTCCACCTCCACCGCCTCCTCCACCTCCTACGCATCGTTATTTTACCTCGTACGACCCGGTTAACCTTTCTTCAGCGACCGATATTGATCAAGGATATGATACTATGATGGCCGAGGTGAATACATTGAAGAGAGAGTTTGAGCAAATACGCCACAAGCAAGCCTGCGACCTCGAGTGGAGGGACGAGCAGGACGTATACCTTCCTGGAATCGACGTCGTTTCTGATAACAGCTCCAAAGATGGTGCGAGTGGGAGCGGTGATATCGTATACGAGATCTTCATTCTCGAAGCGAGAGCTCAGCGTTTGAAAGCCGAAGCGATGATACAGGGTTTGGACACATCAATGTTGACTAGACGATATTCAGATCCAGCACATTCGATCAGGCCCGCACCAACATGCGCGACTCCCATGAGACGAACACAAACGGAAATTGCCCCTTCCTCGTTACGTGATCAACCCACGGTGAAGCAAAAAATCCGGGAATGGTCGCTATTTCATCTCAAAGAAAGCGCGGTCCATAAGCAAGTATATCTCAATACACTGCAAGAGCATGGAGTATCAAGTCCTTCAGAAGGTGATTGGAAAGCTCGAGCTACACAATATTGGAATGTCGACAGCTCTGTCGAGAGCAGAGAAGGCAGCGAGCAGGATGACTCTTCCGCCAACGGGTCGGAGCACGAGCCTCGCTCCTGCCGTGAAATGAGCGTTAGGCAAGGCGTGGCTTCTCCGTCTTCAAGTTGGTATCTCCAAGAAGAAGATAGCATACGCGATACCGACCAAGCTATAGCCATGTCAGAGCCTTACGAATCACGGGAGATGCTACACGAAGAACGTAACGCTGTGTTGCGAGAATCTTCAACGTTTGTGCCATCATCTCATCATCAGGCGATGGCAAATGCGGATATCGACAATGAACACCGAATGACAAGTTCTACCGCGGAAACTTCTCATGACCAGCAAGAGAAGGCTAGAAAATGCATCGGAGCAAACGCCCTCTCACTCCAGACCCCAGATATCTGTCCTACAAAGATCGGAGACGCAGCAGAACGGAAGGACAGCGTCCAGACATCGAGCGTCACTACTCATCCTGATCATGCGACGGCAAGGAGCCATCACAACGAGATCAAGGCGCATCATGCAGCGGCAAAATATATCGCAGTTGAGATGAACACAGGAGCAGCAACATCGGATGAGGGTGGCACCCAATCGCAGCATACTCTATTATCCGCCGTACACCCAACACTCTCTCCAACCCGTGCTCGGGAAACGGATGTTCATGATCCGTCGGACTTCGGCGGCGCAGTCCAACCCGCTTCATCAGCGCCTTGTACACAGCCTCCAATACCCTCGGCGGTCGTCGATGAGACAAGCACGCAACTACCCGACAATTCCGCCACCCCTGACTCTCGTCCAATCTCGCAAGGACGCAGACATACGACGAGTTGGCTACGAAACTTGCTACCCACATACAAGAGCAAGCGAAGTAAGAGTACCTCTTCTATTGGGGGTCACCACCCACTGGCTCGATTTGGGAAACACCCGGTCGCGTAATTCGGTCGTCTATTTTCCTTGTGCCGAGTGGTTCATGGGGGTTCCATCATCTTACAAGCGCATGTTATCACATTGTCCTAATATTGTATAGTCTAACGAATCATGACGGTAATAGTAAGTTTTTCATTTCCGCGTATGACTCTCGGAACGAATTTCCCGGATTGCAAGGTTCTTTGACAGGGCGGCGGTCGGGCGTTGTATCATCTTATTTGGTATTCAAATGCAGCATTAGGCTTACCGGAGCATATCGTTCCATTCGATCCGAGACCCCATGAAACGTCAGCTCAACCACGTTGCTAAGCAGCTGAGGGGGACAGGTGGTCGATCACCCCACTACTAGCAAGCCCCAAGGTTGCGTTCTGTAACCACCGTGTCGGGTTCAGCTCGATATGTCCCACTCTCACGGTGATCAGCAGGACGCCCGCTTGCGGTATGTGTGAGGTGTCTGGATCTGACCTGATGTCAGCACATCGGATCCCGAAGATAAGGCTACCGTCGTTCTTTCGGCCCGATAGAAAGACAAGTGCCGGTATCACAAACCCGGCGGGTACACCACATACATTACCGATGATCGCCAACCGCGCGGTAAGCTCAATTTGGCAGGAGCTGCTAAAGCTCATCAATGGCGTATTGATAGGTATCGTATCCTAGCATGAGCTTCGGGAGTGACATGTGATTCCTATCGGCGGTGACATGCGATCAGATGGCACGGCAAACGCGTAGCTTGCTCCCGTTTGTCATTTGTCCATTAAGTCAAACGCTGGGTTAAGATAGGGAGGAGGACGACACGGCATCGCTTGATGCTTCGCCCCAGGCCCCGTCAATGGAGTTCTATCCCAACGGCCCGCCGGACCCCACTTGACCCACCGCGGCATGCAAGAGGACGCCTAGCTCCCGTCTTACACGCTGCTCTAGCGACTGCCTGAACCCCAAGACCAAACCAGCGCATGCAGCTGGTAAGGCTGGAACTGCCACCCGACCCACTCGTTGTGGAAAGACTTACTCTTCACGGCGCAAAGCAAAACGCCATGTATGAGGAACCGTACGCATGACCATAGCTGCACGAAGCTGCAGAATGCGCCAGCTGTTTTGCTACCCGCGCGCTGCCGTATAACCGGTTTCTGCCCTATGACCCCGCGCGACGTGGGCACAAAGTCGCCTATTGCCTTGTTATCCCGAGGTCAGATTGGCCCTACGTTGCGTCTTGACAACTGAGCACGACCAGGTCTTACCACCACGTATTTGCTTATTTTGCCGTAATTGGCCACATGAGCCTGATGGCGTAGGCAAATGAGATAGTCTGCGACAGGCGAGTGAGGCAGCTATCGCACTAACGAGATGACAGTAATACATGCGTCTCCCCGCACGGTCGATTGGATGTTGTTCTCGTGGCAATAAGCCCGTCCAGACTGACCAATCATCACCGCGCTAAGGCATCAATATCGGTGAGTGACGCGACACGGCTGGAGATACGGCTGAATGGGCTTCGAAGCCTGCTGGCCGATAGTGCAGTGACCAAAAATCTGAGATCTGTTGGCTAGTAGCTGCGTATTGTTCGTGAAAGGGATGAAGACTGGAACGTGACATGGGTGAAAGGGTCAATATCCGATAGGGACACTGATACGAGCGCGGCCGAAAGGTATGCGGCTCTGCTATCGATAATTGATTGGTGGAAGAGATGTACAAGGAAAGTATGCCTGCAATGCACGTGTGACTCATGGCCAGATGGACTTGCAGGAGGCTTGCAGGATGTATGCATGCTGTCAAGGCATACCAGATGCGCATACGTGCGCTAGGTAGAGGCTGTAAGTATTCATATCGCGGCTGGAGTTACTTGGATGTATTGAGCAGAGAGCTGTTTGTGTACGATGAGAATTGCAGTGATAATTGAACAGGAACGTGCTGTTCGTAGGAAAGGGTTTTGAAACCCAATGCAATTGCTCTGACATCCTGAGAATGCAAGCATGACCATCCTAGCGCCGTTCTCAACTATGGCTCATTGGGCCATTATGAATCAGTGCTGGTTATCGTACGCCGCTGTTGGAATTGGGTGGTACTTTGATGTGTTGGGTGTCTAGTTGTGAAAGCTGTTCCGAAAGGTTTGGAAAGACTTCAGGAGTGGAGAAGGTGGAAGACCGAGGCACCTGCCATGATTTGTCGAAGGCGCAGCCCGGGGGACACGCACCATGATATCTGAGACGCTGGGGATTCTGCATGTCGTTCTCAAATTCATCCGAGCCTTGATGGTCTGCGTGATTGTGGCCGAGAGAATCATGTGGCCATTCGTTGAGTATCGATGTTGCCCAGTGCCACAGGGTAGACAACTCTCCCACTCCAGCAATATACCTTACGAGAGTGTAAATTTCATGTGGAGAAACACGAAGTTGGTGTAGCATCCATCGGTTCACTCGATCTGGCGTGTTTTCGAAGTTTACAAGGTAGTCGCTGAGGATAGCTCGAGTCTCTTCGCTTTCGTCTAGCAGGAGCAAAGGATTGCCTTCCTCCAGACCCGGGTTCACGGGGAGATCATCGATCACTTCTGATGTAGGGTCAGGATTATCGATGTCGATACTTTCTGCAAGGAAGATGTCCTCTTCAGGGGTGTCTCTGGACATAATATTCCTTCCAGATGACTCAATCTGACCCGTAGCCCAGATGCCAATGTAGCTCAGCGTCTCCATCCAGTCGTTAGCGTTGGCGCTTCTATTTGTAGAGATGTAATTGCGAAGCTTCGGGCGGTCGACTGATTCTAGCGATGCTGTCCTAGTGTGGTAGCCTTGACTCTTTTGCTGGATTTGAGGCTTGAGCTTTAAATTGAGTTCCCCAGCATCTCTTGGTAATTCACCGATACCGACATTCTCACCGATCAGTGTACCATGTAGCCGCTCAACAGACGCTCCAGAGGACGATTCAAACTCTATCTCAGATTGCTCCTGTTCCTCTGTTCTGGTAGTGGACGCTATATCAAAACTGAAGATCTTGTCGAAACTCTCCTCGATCCTTGTATATTGGTCTATCAGCTTGTGTTCTTCCGCACCAAGCGAGATTTCGAGTGGCTCGTAATCCGATTCAACAGGCCCAACCTGATCTCTAGCTGCCTGCGCTGCTTCGAAGAGTGTGAGCATAGCGGGATCGATGGATGAAGCACTTTCGCTCATTTTCTTGCGTATACAATCGAAGAGCAGCATGTCACACTGCGATACATGCTCCCTTAGTCTGTGGAGTTTCTTTCGTCTCTCCTGAACAGCAAGACGCAACGCAGTCACCTCTCTCTGCTGTGCGGCAAATTCGGATAGCTCGTTGATAAAGTTGGTGTAAAGTCGTAGGGCCGCCTGGTTTAGATGTTCATCCGCCTCAACAGTCTTGTTAAACGGAGTAGGAGGTCGAGGAGCCCGCTTTGGAGGTGGTGGAGGAGGAGCAGGTAACGTCAAAGCTGGGGTGAATGAACGGGATTGATCTAATGCGTCTTTGCTCTCATCGTAGATGTTGTTTGTCGTCGGACGAATGCGCCGCGGCCGCGCATGCGTCCTTTGATCTTCAGCATGAGGTTCTTCCATCGGTCTCAGTTCCGAGAGGAAGCGTACTTTCTTGAGAATGCCATTTCGAGCTTTGCAGGCTGGACATGAAGCTAAAGGCTCCGGTATTAACTTTGCTTGCACTGTCTCGTGTTTCCCGCCGATCTGGCCAGCGGCAGGCGCATCGGCTCCCGCTTCGTTAATGCTATTCAGTGCATCGATCTCGAGAGGTGGGCGAAATTCGATGTTGTCAATTGGGACAGTCTTTGGAAGTCAGCTCCTAGGTTGATGGGAGTCCATGGCATAATGTGAAGCCACCTACGAGATCGGACCACGTCGGCATTGCAGCTGTACGGCGGATGCGCGCTTCTTGCCCCTATGAAATATGGAACATACGAGAGCGCATTTGCGGTCCTATGCTCTAAGAACAACAATATGTCTCGCCCTCCCTGGTTTGCGATGAAAGCTAAGAGATGTCAACGTAGTTGACGACATTGCGTGATTGACTGCTCCCAGGCCCTAGTGCAAGACGCGATCAAGCGAGGCGCGTTGGCTACCATGCAGCCAACTTTATTTCGCCCCACTAGACCCACCTTTGTAATCTTTCGCATGCCCGCTAGTCAAGGCTCGCCCATACTGTATGCACCCACAGCTACTCATTCGTCTTCGTATGGAATCTGTCACATGTTTGCATCCGCTGCACGATTACCACACCCAGCCTGGGGTAGCCTGTCTCGGCGAAGAGCCTCTTTCTCGATCTGCGATGCCCCGCTCCGTGAACTCTGATGTTTTAAACTACTCGGACCCTCCTTGATTGCGCTCGAGTCAACAACCCGCCATGATGTAGCTATGCCCGACTACTACGGGCCTTGGATATGGTCGAAAGAGCATCAACGTCATTATGCCTTTCTTTACGCTGCCGACAACAGTAGAATCCTGGATACCTTATGGGAAGCTCAACATCTAGACGCTAACACTACCGCGACGACGCCAGCTACACAGCTTTACGGGGACGACCGAAGGTAAGACCAAGCGATGTCTCAGCGCCTCGGCGAGAAATGTCTAATCCAAGGACAGTGCACCTCGTAACCTACCTTCGATACCTACTTCAGGATCAAGCTATCCTCAAACAAGCTACTCGTCCACTTCGCCACTCCCGCAACCGCATCCATCTTCACGAGAAAACTACGTAGCGGCACCATCGTCATTATCTGCATCATATGCTCATCCTCAAGGATCATATGCTGTTGCACCGCCAACATCATCTGTTTTCGCTTCGGCTCAAGGGAGCTATGGAACTGCGCCATTAGCATCATCGTCCTCAGCTGCCCACTCTGCTCATCATTCGTATCCACAAACGACGTCCAACGGCTCGCAATATATATCCACCGCCCCTGACTATGGCGCAATCGGGCGAGCGGCAAACAATCAGCGCTATCATCTGCCAGGTGATCAAAGGAGGGTAGATGGGCAAGCGAGTCTTGTCACAGGAGGACCCAGCGGTCATGACACTTCGTACGGTCCATTAGATAGCCATTCTATAGCCTCGGCCCAGGCTTCTGTCACAACTGCTTCAGGATCACCATATCTACATCAGAATCAGCAAACTCAATCTGGCTTTCCTTTTACATCAGCATCAGCGGGACAACCGCAACATACAACACCACATATGACGCGATCCCAGTCGGCTCAATACCCAGCACCTCGTCGACCAGTAACATCTCTTCCTTATGACGTGCAATCTACCATACGAAGTCTTGATCGAAGGTATATTCAGACAGATCCGAATGAAGCCAGCAATCAGGAGTCGCTCGATCCACGTGAGCATCGCAGCATAGCCATGGTCGGATCTTTTAGCTAACGAATGCAGGCTACCGTCGAGTTGTCAAGCATCACCACGCTAGTTTCTTTGTGCTTGGTCGAGTAAGGCCCTCTCTTTGGTTAATCCACCAACACCACTGATCAGACGCCAAGGTTTTCAAGATGCTCTGGACGGAACCTGCAGGTCAAAGCAATCCAGGCAGAACTCGCAATTCCACGCACTTCAGCACCGTCCTTTACGGCCAAACGGCTTTCAGTGAGATACGCAGATTCGTCGTTGTGCGAAATAAGGGCGACTTCAGCCAGTGCATGTAGGTCTTTTTGATGGATAGTGATTACTGTTCTTCGAACTTCGAGCTTCACAGCTTACGATTCATACAGTCCAATCCAAACCTACAAAGGCCAAGGCGCCACCAAGCCAGGCCTCGTCATGGACGATCACGGTGTTATCCACACCTCATCCTTGGCCCCGAATTTGCTACCAGGCGAAAATCTGACGAAATACTCAGTGCAGGTTCAGCCCTTCAAAGACGAACGGCTAGAGGCAGCAAGTCGCGTCAATTACGGAAAGGCATATGCTGTTGAACACAACGTCAAAGTCCTCGAAGTTGGCATGATACTAGAAGGTCACAGGTACTTGATTCAGCAATATTTCGACAGTGCAATGCAGAGCTAGTAGCCTGTTGCAATGGGCTACGTATGCGCGAATCGTCGCCTTTGTTTTCGTTTCATATGCTTTTCGGTCAAACAGTACTGCAACATACGCAGGCTTCCAAGACCACTTCTAGTACCTTCTCCCCCACTTGTTCCTGATTTATTGTCTGTCCCGCCAGACTGCCACATCATGTGCAGTAACCTTTTGCGCTTCTGGCACGTCTAGCACACCTGCGATCTACTTTACGACTCTCGTCTTTATGGAACCTTAACGCGTAACGGATTCCCTTTCGCACAGTTTGTGGCTTTGTTCTTCGGGTTCACAGTACATCAATCTCTTCGCGATCACGTTCAAGTAAAGATTAGTTATGCACTATTACCGTTACTGTATGCTCATCTCATAATCAATGCTACTATATTATATAACCCCAATGTCTGATGAGCATCCTAAGTCGCAACCTTCTTGATCTGATTTCATCGAAATGTCGTCGCCACGCAACGCCAAACTATGTAGGTCAGAATGGATCAAACCAAGAAATCCCGGATCGAACTTCATGATGACATCAAAGGAGTAGGGCATGATGTTTGAGTCATTTCACACATTCACGTTGAGGGAACATGTCTCTCTACCTTACAGCAAGTGCTAAATGACTTGACTCAACTGTGAAGATTTTCTAGGTGACTAATACTACTGAAAACACTGGCAGGGTCTTCCATGACATGGCAGCGAGACGAAGCGTTCGAGTCATCTAAACAGCATCATGAGAGGAAATTCCCTGAGGTAGTCGACTGCAGAGCCAGCATGCTCCGCCAAGGCGAGTGATTGTGGGTGAAAGTGAGAAAGGCTAAATGCCGTCGAGGAGCGCTTTTTGGGGCGTTTTGGAACTGTTGCATGATCATGCTACTGTGATAGCATTGCTATAGTGGTGGGTAAAATGGGAGGGACGTCAAAAACCTGGATCGAGCGTTAGTGACCAGTGTCGCTTCCTCCGCTGGGGAGGTCGTAGGGGCACACACTACCATATGTTGACAATCTCGTACTGCGTATCCTATCAAATCGTCTTCATCGAGATTCTTGCGTAATCGAAATTTGCTCTATGAAATTTTTCAGAGCGGCAAAGCTACGTGACTGGTGATTCCATACCAGGCAGGAGCAATGGGCTAGCGCACAGACTCGCACACAAACAAACCACCAAACTTTTCTGTCCTCCTCCTGCCTCTCGTCCTCACACCACCTCAAAGCAATTGCGTCTTTTCTACACTGCACCATGGACTCAATTGAGGTATACGTACAAGCGCAATTCGCCGCTCTCAAGGGTATCTACCACTTCCTTTTCAATCACGCTCATGGCTAATGTGAGGCAGCGAGAACGGAGGACAAGCAGCAAGGGCATGCAGCCGTTTCGAAAGAGCCGTCAAAGGCATCCAGCAAGTCTCCCGATCGTCAGTAAGCCCATCGAGCTAGATAGACGCCACTAACAAAGCACAGCTGCCTCCGTACACCGCATAAGCTTCGTCGGCGACTCAACGAGTGTGAAGGTCAATGCTGACCAGCTCAGTAAGTCTCTCCATTTCATGACGGTCAGGTGATTGGTACTAATGTGTCGCAGTCGATCAGTCCAAATATGAACAACCTCTCATCGAAGCCAATTTCGCTGCTCTCGAGCGTACAGCCGATCCTCCTGCGCTTGCGCAAGAGCACACAGCCGGCTCTTCTGCCACCGAGTCTGCGACCGCGGTATCCGTTCAGGCTTCCCAACGTGAGCGATACCCTGTTTTCAGGCGAATCTGAACTAACGGTGTCTAGCTCGAATGCAAGCTGGTGGTCGCCCTCCTGTCGCGGGTTTCCACGAACACGTTGAGCCTGCTGTATATCAGGCGTTTCTCGAGCGTCTGGGGGTAGTCAATGGCAAGAACTCCATTGCATTTCGAACATGGCAGGCTTACCTCAACTCGCGTTTTGGCAGCATCCCCGAGAGCATCAAGGATCTTACGTGGTGGAAGCCGGCTGACTTCCCGCTCTCTGATCTGGCCGTGCAGATTGAGCCGGCTAGATATTACTCGTCGTCGTCGTTCAGTCTCGGGCTGTGCGCGGTCACTTTCGGTTCTCTCGAGACTTGCCCTCTTGGTGCTGGCTGCCCTTGGCGTCATGCAAAGTTGACTAGTAATGAGATGGCCTGGCTAGGAGAGCTTGGGGCTAGAAGCGAGGGTTCCAGATTCAGTCGCCTCCGCAAGGAAGGAGATGGTACTCCTTGTGTTGTCGATGTCACTTTATGGGACATCTAGCACACAGCCAAACACATATGTCACTCTCGGGGTCGTCGACTCTTGTATCCTGGTTCATGAGGTTTATTATGAATCCAATGATAGTTCTCATCCACGAGTCTGCTTGACTCACTCTTTCTCTGACCATGCCCACGCCCACGCCTATGCTGATATTTATTGAAGAACTGTACAAACTCTGTCGCCTTTGCTCCCAGGAGGCCATTGCGAGCCCCTCGGTTTCCTCTCGTATCTACTGACAAGAACCTCCCCAGTCGCTTCTTCCGTCGCTCTCACCGATAACGTCCAAATCGACAGTGTCGATTTGCTACAAATACTTCTAAGATATGGCTCTTTCGCACCAACTTAAGTTTAGGGCATGCACTTAGAGAGAGAGGAGCACTGCGTAGCTCGTGTTTATCAGGGTGATGCCACCCAGCTGTGTTGATGCCCCGGCTTGCCGCCCCGCGCAGTCTCGTAATGTTTATCGATAAGCGATTGGGACGCGTCATGGGCCCGTGCCGAACGCGTCAACCAGGCAGATGACCCCAACCTCTTGCTCACATCACCAAGTACCATCATCGCTTTCATCGCAATGGGGCACCAAGCCAGACATCCTATTACGAGTACCAGTTACTCTTTATCATCGGCACACAACCACCTCATTAGCATACTGCCCTAGAGTGAAATCGACGCGTCTTGGAGCAGAATTAGTACACTGCGAAAGCACGGCATGAATAGATACCAGCACGAAGCCATAACACACTGAACAGGCGTAATGGTATGATAACACGTCGACTCAGATCTATGAAGCGATATCTAACACTTTGACAGGATTCGTGTTGTGTGCCATGGCACTTTCCGCATCCGCAACGCAGTAGGCCCCATCCCCGATGGCACCTCCTTCATATGAATAGGCGACAGCACACAACGAAAACTCTTCGCCTCAGCTCAATTCCTTCTCACCTCACCTCATTCCACCTCTAACTCATCTCATCTCATCCCGCTCTCGCCCCCACGCCATGTCGTGGCTCCAGTACAAGCACAGTTGACCGACGTCGCTGGTGAGTACTTCTCTACCCTGATGCGAGTGCATTTTAGTGACCATCACAGCCACCGTAGAGCAGCTCAAGTCAGAACAGCTCGAGTCAGAGGTTAAGAAGCTAAAAGCAAAGCTCGAGCATACGAGCATGAGCTTGCACGAAGCCGACACCGACGCCAGTCACCTCCGAGATGAAGTTTGGGAATTGAAGATCGAGCTTCGCCAGGCCAAGAACAAGCTCTCCGATCAAGAGAAGGACGAGTACAAAGCCATCATCGAATCTGCTCCCAAGCGACGTAGAGTTACTGCCTACGGTGGCGACGAAGCTCTTCGAACACCTGCAACGCCATACCAGGTAGTCTCTAGGCAGGTCTCAGAGTCCCCCCGGGTGCCGATGTCGCCGCCCCGCCTCAGCTGTTCGCTCGAGACTTAACTCCTCTTGTCGCACAAAGCCATCATCAACGTTAACCCTAAGTCAACGAAGCACGTCATTCACCAATACACATCGGAAGCTCCTCGCCCCCGAGTACGCCTGGAGAAGACCGTGATATCTCGACTCCTGCTCCAACCTCGGCGCTATTTGAGGGGTCGGCACGTCGTCAACCAGGGCGCCCTCGCAAGGTTCAGGGTGATGATAACAACCCTGAGATCATCCTCTTCGTCGGTTCGGCTAGACCCACATCAGATGCATACTTGCCCATTAGCCATCTCGTACAAAGCCAACAACCCCTCCTTACTAATACATTGCGGATGTACCGCGACACGGCCGGCTAGTGGGTATACATGAGAACAAGTCACAGAGAGATCTCAATAAAGGTCAAGAAGTGTCTCAACAAGTGGATGATGAACAACCGATCGCAGCCTACGGACATAACCCTTTACGCAGAGACCGCGTGCGAGTACTGTCTTCCAGCACCACTCACAAGAAGGAATTACCATAGATAAAGCAAGCTTTTAGCTTGCTTAGAATAAACATGATACCTCTAATAAATCTTTCCGCAACGTGATGACCAAGACTTTGTACACGCAGGTGTTTATCACTATCTTGCTTAACGATCTGTATACGGACATTGTCGTTGCAGACAGGCTTTGTGCGTTTAATATTTCCTACAACGAACTGTATGCCATACTGTTCAAGCGCTCAAGGTCAATCGACACTATCAATATGGCCTAGGTGGCACTCGAGACCGCATCACTGTTGGACACGGTAGTCCCGAACCTGGCACTCATAAGGAGTCACTCGAGCCATCGAGCTATAATAATCTTGAATAGTTGTTGGATACTATATAAGTGCCCAAATCGACACTGTCGATTTCGAGGGCATAGTAATCTCCTCCTAGAAGCCGAACGTGGAGGCTAACATCAGCACCTGGGCACTCACCTGAGGACAATACTGGTCTAGCCCAATGCAAGAGACGCGCAAGGATGCGCAACGTGGCTTGTGGGTCACCACCTGGTTGGACGAGTCAGATATCGCCCCGTCATTCCGTGTCGGTCATCACACCAGACCCACAAGGCTGCATTTCAGAAGACGGCAGTCGATGAATGACAAGCTGTGGGCAATCCTCAGCATCGTTATCGTGACACTTTAGTCGAGAGTTACACTGTCCAGACATCTCGAGTGACATCCTGGCTACAGCTGTGATAACCTTGGAAGTTTGCTCAAAGTACTCGCCTGGAAGGATCGTAACAGCGCCCGGGGTTGCCTAATAAGAGGCAAAACGCCATTGACGAAGCCACCTGATACATTATAGGAGAAGAGAGCTGCCGGAAGGGTGGCTTGATTGGTCGCGTGGGGCCACATCACAACATTTGGATGCGCTGCATGCGCAGCTTCTGGATAACTCACTTTTTCCTATGCTACATACGCGTCCATTCGTGTTTGCTACTTTCCAACCCCCACCGATCGCGATAGCAAAATGACAGGTGGTCATCACTTAGCTCTTAGGCAGCGGTGCAACGGGGCTGCATCGGCCGGGTGCGAGTGCGGGACGCTCCTTCCGCGCGCGCTGGGTTTCGGCTACTCTCCCCTACCGGAATGCGTCCCACCAGAAAAGCTTCACCGGATTTCTCAAGCACTGAGGGACCTCTATGGAATAAGAAGCGCTAAATGAGATCGCCTCTTGTTCCTATTTTCGGTCCAACTCTAATTCAACGTCGTTTCTACGACACAAGAGGCAGTATTCGAGGTATGTGTGGTATGCCGGAGCTGAAGCGTACATTAGGCATGTGAAGGTCTGAGGGTGTTCGGCTCGGCTGCAAGTAGCCCCCATGCAGCAAATTGGATTTATTTATTCACGGGTTGGAGTCTCATCGCCCTGTCGAGCCTCCTGGTCCTTGCTTGATTGCCTGCTCCCGTCAGATAAGTGACGCTTGCGGAACCTGGCTAATGTCCCTCGTCCATCGTTCGTCCTGATGAGCTCATCAAGCCTGTCTGTGTGTCGCTTTCGCTATTCTCCATGTGTATTCCATGTACATGGCATGCAAGGTTGCTGCAGCCATTTGTCGGATATGAGGGTTGTGGGTGCGGGGTATGACTGTAGCCTTCGCGCAAACGATAAGACACAGTGTGCTGCAGACTGCAAATCACTTCCAAGCGAATGATTCTGTCAAAGCGGCGTTGCTCACTCCTAGTTATGACGCGTGGCGGACGCCGATGCGTCGCAGCTGTACGTCAAGGCTGCGGCATGACTAGGCGATCCGGTTGGGTACTGCCTGCGAGACTCATAGCTACGATCCATTGGCTATGACTGTGATTGCAGTTGTAACGAGTGCTGCGCGATATCATCCTCCTTGCCTGTGGTCCATAGGTTGCGTTGCGCGAGCATCGAACGGTCAGCAGGTTCCCCACAGTGGTGCGGTCTTTCTTCGACGGTCGCTGTTGGCTCCAGTAGTCAACGTGTCAGTACACTATAGATATTTTTCATAGCGAGATAATTCGTTCCATAGTGGCTGCATGCAGATGCGAAAAGGAGAACGTGCTTACTGGTATTGTTGGAAAGGTCCCGCCAGTACACAAACCAAGAAATGTCTACCGAACAGACTCCCGGTTATCGAGACGCCAACCTCAATGAAACTCATGCTCTATATATACATCGAGACAAAGGGAAAGATCGATAGCAAAACCCGTCTTGATGTCCAACAAAGAACCCTTTTACATATTTATACACGGTATCGTATAAGAACGCCAGCGAAGTTCAAGGTAGTTGGTGTGAAGGAAAAGCGATCACACTAAGCAGAAGAATGCTCGACACATTCTACGTGCTAAGTGGTTTTACATAACGAGACATCTGTCTACCAACGACGATTGATCAGCTTGTGGCGGCACCAAGTCTGGGTCCTGTGATGGTGGTGTTCGTTCTGACCCTGAGCGCCGGCGATTTGGACTGCCGGTATGGCTTGGTCGCCTTCGGTATGCATCCGGGGTCTTGGGATCGAATACAGGTGGTGGAAAAGTGCATGATGACATCAACGGAGTTCCAGTATCGGTTGTTGAAATCATTGCTGGCACCGGCTCGATGTCCTTGAGGTCAGGTATGGTGTGGCGTCTTAACAGTGGTAAGGTCGGTGTTGTGTGGAAGCTGCCGCTCTGCCGTGTTGGTGTTATGTTGTAGCTTGTTTGTTTCGCTCCAACGCCCTCTGTGAATGATATCGAGCGAGCATAATAACTGTAGTGGCGTCTATCACTATCTTTATCCAGGGCAGTTCTCTTTTGCGATGCGCGTGGTTTCGGTGATTGCGACGTACATGGCGAACTTGAGGCTTTTTTTGTTGCATCAGCAGGACGCTCGACTGGGATGCGGACTTCATCCTTTGTATCGAGAGAGTCGCCTGATTCTACGATACTGGTGACCAGCGCAGTATCGGATACACTAGATAGTTGGAGACCAAGCATCATTTCATCTGCGCTATGTTGTTCGCGACCAGACGGCGTCGGGCTCAACCCGTCTTTGGTAGACTTGGTTACATGTTGATCCGTGTGATTGATGGAAACCGTGGAGTCGCCAGTGTGAAAACGTTGATAGTAGTCTTGAATCAAAAGCCATTTGGTGTGCTCCCACCATGTCCGTGTGTCTGTGAATCCAAAGTCATGTATCGCCTTCAGACAGAGCTTTAGAAGAGGCGAAGAGTCCACCATCTCGAGCAACCACTCATCGATATCGTTCATTTTCTCTACCCAACGCAAATGGTTATGTGTCTGGTGAAACCGACCGACATTATTCGTGTTGAGCAACATCAAATCCCTGCGATTGCTCGGGCGGGAGTGAGATTGTTGGAATCTTGCATCTGCTTTGCGTGTCGACATCAGAGCTTGCTCTGCTAGAAAGTCGGATAGTTGCGTGCCACGCCGGTCGCCCACTTCATCACCGGAGGCTGTGAGATCCGCTATTATTGAATCGGTGTTAGTATCACCTGTCATGGAATGGGTTGTCAATTGCAGGATTTCCAGGTTGTCTGCACTTCGACTTCGGTCCAGCGTTTCGCTTGGCACAAATCTGTTGTTCAAAACTTCCTCAACGAACCTTGTTTCTCTGCGAGAGTATTTCCACTCTAAGGTATTGTAACTGGCTTCGGCTTCATCGTATCCTGCTTCTATGAGGCCATGTCGGTCTCTTAGTGAAGACGCGTCAACGAGAGCATCCTCAATATCTTGCGGTAAATTGGCACCTATCTCATTGAGATACTGCCTTAACAGATTGAAAACGTGGCCATCCTTCGCACTCGTCTGTATATGGAGATCGCGAAGTTCCTGGCGCTTCGCGGCTAAGGAGAAGCGCGTGCCCACCAACTTGTCACGGAGATCCCGCAACGATTGCTGCTCGATATCTAGCTTTTCAGATATCGTACTCCGTGGTGCTTCCGGGACAAGAAATGGATGAGGATCGTCTGCTGTGGGCAACGGAGGAGGTGGAGGGACGTTCATCTCGGCGAATGAGATCGGCGGCGGCGGTGGAGGATAGACCATCACGGGTGGAATGCTCGGGCGAGGCTGAGCAGTATCGTCTTGACCATCACTGCGATCGCTATGCACCTCAATGGCTCGAGAACTTGAAGAGATTGAAGCATCATGGTCAACTTGAGATCCATCTGGCGATACCGCTGAACGCGTTGGACGTATAAGATCTGGCGAACCCGGTGTCCCGGTCCATTCCTTTGACGTTGCACTCTCAACGATAGATGCTATACTTGTTAGAACGATCCGTAGTCGCCAGAATGCCGGAGAGCAATATCCACCGGGAGCAAGTAGCTCATACTGACCAGTGGCTCGTTGTTCGCACTGCATTCCCGGAGAGACATTAGACGACGATATGCTCGAGGATGAAACTAAACTGAAAGTGATGCATCCCGGACAGCAAAACGCGGCGGCAGCGAACGTATTATCCGTTTGTAATCTCGCCGGCGCCCCGTCACCGTGCACATTCGCCGATGCGCACTGATCGGCAAGGAGAGTCCCGAGGGTTGCTACTTGCTTCCGAATTGGCGGGTTCGAGCATGTGGCACATGGGCTCCATGCACTGGCTGATAACACAATAAAAGCAGCGTTCATTTGTGGACGGGGCGGGTGCAGAAGCGTGCTAGTGGCCGTGCTAGTCATCCTCGGCACGGGCACATGGGCCATCGCCAGCCTGTGGCAGCCCGGCACTCGCGCCAACCGTCTGCACCTTCACTCTATCGCCATCTGCAGGAGGGTCGCGTCGACATCATGTCTAATACAATAGAAGACTTCGCGTCGTCGCATGTGTTCATCATGCGGCTCTGCGCGACCCAGTCATCTGGCCATACCTACATAAAGACGTACAGCGCAGTTGTACCCGTTGTTCCCTTCAGCTACCGCGCAGATTATGTGGCACCACTCACGGCATGGAACCAGCACAACCACAACCACAGTCTGAATGGAGCGCCCACTTCCAGAGATACCTAATCACTCTATGGAATGCACAGCATGGACGCTATTACTGGCAGCACTACGTTGAAGGCCCGTGGCCGTGCCCTGGCATGCCGCACATGTATAGGCTAACCGGAAATAGGCCAAGGCTGGGTATTTTTTGACTGGCTGCCCGTGACGCAAGAGTTTCAAAAGGCCCAACCTCAAGCTCAGTACCAGCCGCATATACGCAATGACTCTGCACAGACAGTCACAGCATCTGGAGATGGGCCTGCTGGTTATGGACGAGGCTCAATGGTATATGCAACATACAGTCCAACGAATCCGCATCCCACCAGCCACTATGAAACACTTGATCCATGTTAGACTCCAACCATCGCTACATGTGCAAGACACTGACTTGTTGTAGCTTTCAACGTCAAAGGCAGTGCTTTCTTCGAGGAAGGGAAAGTTAGTAGTAGGCATACAGGGCGAGACAAAGATTGCTGACAATAAACCAGGTCTTTTCGATTCTTTTCACTGAGCCAGCGGGTGCCAATGCCCTGAACGGGCTGAATCCCATGGCCGACTACAATACCAACTTGTCCAACAATACCAACCTGTCAAGGGTCAGATTCGGTGAACATGTACATACCCAAGTACGCAGGTTCATCGTCGTTAAACGTAGACGAGAGTTCTGCTTCGCTGTGTACGCGATTCTCTCCACGTTCTAGACTGTGAAATGGCTAATATTCGGCAGTCCAATATTCACCTATTACGGCCAAGCCACCACGAAGCGTGGAGTACGTCCTGACGAGCATGCCATTGCCTATTCGCTAGGACAGCAACCACAACTTGTACAGGGTGAAGCGCCGCTCCGGAAGGTTCCCATCCCAATCGAAATGGAGGAAAACAACAGGGCGCTGGTCCCAGCCTCCAGAATTTACTTCGCCATCCACCACCCGATTCAGTACAACGTCAAGGTGAAAAACCTCGGCCACGTGCATCCAGATTATCTTCCCACTTTCCTTGGCTACTGGAACCAGGAGAACACTGACTCACAGGACGACCCTGATGTGGCACAAAACCCAAACAATACGGACAATTTCTAATCCGCGACTTCCCGAGATATCGATAGCTTCTTTCTCAGGTTTGATCAAGATACGTTTTGATTTTGTATTCCTTACCATAACGATTTCATTGCTATTGTTTCGCGCTTTTTGTTGACGTTTGATCGCACCATGTTTCGGTTAGTCGAGGTTGTTTCTGCTCATATACGCTGCTTTTGAATGACGTTTTCACTAGTAACAGCTATCCGCGAATGAATTTTTTATTAATACTTCCACCATTCCTTCTTGCACTTATGTTCGTCTTGCGTATATATCCCGTGCGCAAGGTCTTCATCACACGCCTTACACAACACCGAATGCAACACGTTCATATGCGAAGTGTTGGTGTGGTTCAGAATGAGGACAGAGCCACATTCGTGGCGTAGCCATACCGAATTGGTACCTCTTGTTCGCTACTCGGATATACGTTTTTTCCATTGGCCAACCTTTCCCATTGAGGCTATGAAGTGTGGCACAGCGACCGTTGGTAAACACCAATGATGTTGCTGCAGGACGACGCCACTATATGCACTACAAGGTCACCGGTATTGGCCCCGCGTCAAGCTCAGCCTGCCTGCACCAGCCTTTCCGTTCTCGCATCAGAATTCACAGTGTGTTTTAAACACCCGACTCCAGAGCGTCCACCACCACTGTTGTTGCATGTGACGAGCTGCGTGCGAACGCGACGACGAATCTGTGCTGAGAACAGCTCCACGACCAACGCCTACGTCAATACATGATAGAAAGGCTTGTTTACCCACCATTGTAGTGCAGCTCCGTGTCAACGCTAACTTCACAGCAGTGCTAAGGCTCACTACGACCCTACCTCCGCGATGCGTACCAAGCCTAGTCCAATCGGCAACGTTAAAGCGCTCAAAAGATCGCTCGAAGCCGTTTCACAAACTGGCGACATCGACGTCGAAAAGAATGGCGACTATTCCATCGACAACGAAGAGTGCCTTCCCTTCGAATACAAGGCAGTTTTGGGCAAAGGCGGAAGTGCTTTCGTGCAAAAGGTGCAACACAAGACCACGAGAGCAGTGTTTGCAAACAAAGTGGTTGCATTCCCTCGCGAGAAGGCTAAAGGCAGAGACCAGGCGAAAGGACGATACTACAACGAGCTTGCAATCATTCGAAGTCTCAAAGCTCATCGGCACATGATTGAGCTGTTTGCCACATACAGGACGCCCCGATCAGGTGCCTTGATTCTACGTCCAGCTGCGGACCAAGGCGATTTGCAACAGTACCTCGACAACTACGCCGACGCACTCGATGATCACACGACAGCATCCGCTAGTGTAGCTAGAATGACTAAAGTCTTGGAGCAGGCCTTTGGATGCTTGTCAAGTGGTCTTGCGTACATGCATGGGATGGGCATTCGCCACAAAGATATCAAACCAGGGAATATCCTAGTTCATCAAGGCGTCGTTATCTACACTGACTTCGGCGCATCAAAGGACACTATAAAGGATGGACATAATACCACAGAAGGAAAACCTGACTTCTTGACACGGAAATACTCGGCACCTGAAGTGCTCGAGTACGAGAAGAGGAACTTCTCTGCAGATGTTTTTTCTTTGGGTTGTGTGTTCGTTGAGATACTTTTACGCTTGTGTGGCTTGACAGAACAGGAAAACTTGAAGGCTGAGGGCTACTCAGGCATCTTGAATGCGCTCCATACTCAACTTGCCTCCGCAGAACTCCCTTCAAGCGTTTCGTGTCTTCGCGAAATCGTCGTTTCAATGACACTGACGGAAGCTACGGGTCGTCCTGGCTCTACAAAGGTGGTAACAGATATCTGTTCCCACGAGGCGCTGGCATGCTTAGCATGCTACTCCGAGGCTCGGGTACAGCCGCCGCAGTTACAGCCACCAGAATTCGAGCCACCAGCTCGAGGACCACCAACTCCAGGTTCACCAGCTTCGGAACCAACAGCTCCACAGCGGCAATCACGAGCTCAACTTCAACCACAACCACAAACTTCGCAATCACAGCCTCAATTTCAACAACTGCGATCGCCTACCCCACAACCCAAAACTTCTCAATCACAGGCTTCACGGCTAGGGACGATACACCCACGAGAATTGGATCCACATACCCCACAACCGGCATGGAATCATCAATTTGAGAGATATCTTCATCTACTGTTTAACGACGAATACCAGCTATGGTACTGGAATCATCATGACGGTAAGCAGTCGCGTTGACAAGCACGAACATCTATTAAAGACCATCAGGGCAAAGTTGGGTGTTCTTCGACTGGGTCCCGCTGAACATTGCGCCCCCTGTCCCGCAACTGCAACCCCAGGTGCAAATGCAACTTCGGCCTCACTTCGATGCAAATCAAGCCAATTCAGGCCACGCACATCAACGCGTAGACTCTGCTCGCGCCGCGGAACCATTGAATATTCGCCAAGGGAAACATGTCTTCGGCTACTACGACGGTAGGCATTCACAGCCTGACAGTCACTACGAACACCTTGATCCTTGTATGTCGTTATCGAGTATGATCATGTATCACAGCGCTAATTCATAAAAGCGTTCTTCGTCAAGGATGCGGCCTTTTTCATCGAAGGGAGGGTATGTATCGTTCTCCATAACCAAAACACAACTGATAGGATCAGGTCTTCTCAATGCTCTTCAGCGAAGCAGCTGGTGCAAATGCAGTCACTGCCCTGAAAAACATAAACAACGTGACAGATTACAACAGCTCCATCTCCGTGGTAAAGTACCGTGAAAATGTACATTCGCAAGTGCGTAGATTCATCGTGGTTAAGCGCAAAAGGGAGTTTTGTTTCGCCGTGTAAGTCAAGTCTTGATCACCATGGTGCGCTGCTAATGATGGAAGACCTATCTTTACCTACCAGGGTAAAGGCACGAAGAAGCAGGGTGTCTCTCCACATGAGCACGCCATCGCATTCTCGCATGGATACGCCGCTCATTTACTTCCAGACGAGGCCCCCCTTGCCAAACATGCTATTTGCATCGTTATGAACAATGGCGAAAGGCCTCTAGCAGTGGCATCGAGGATCTACTTTGGGATTCACCATCCAATCCAATACAACGTCAAAGTCAAAGACCTTGGTGTTGTACATCAAGACTGGTTGCCAACCTTTGTTGGCTATTGGAACATGGAGAATCTTTCCGACACTCGGCAATCTACCGAAATTACCAATGAGGCTGCTCAATATGACTATTCGTGATATAGCAATACAGAGAGATCTTGATGTGCATCAATCTGGGTGGTAGAACGTCTTTTTTTGCTGGGTTCTGTGAGAAGGTAATTGGCCTTTCTCTACTTAAATAACAAACTCGTCAGCATTAAATCGTTGCCCCTCGATTAATCGAGATGTCAGTTTCTGAGATACTGCTTTCTTGAGCAAGCTATCTATTCAAAAGGACACATTGAGCGGCTGAAAGTTTGTTGCATCTCACTAGACTTTACTGTGGAAAACCCTCAAAGCTACCTAGGTATCACAATCATACCTACCTTTTGCCGAAGTACAATCTCAAAGACCTAGCCCAACCCAAGACCAGACCGCAGTCTGAGCCAAAGGCGCGCTCTATTCTTTCTCACTGTGTAAAACTGGCGGAGTATGTGGTGTGTGTTTCGTGCGACAATTACTGCCCAGGGGGCCCACTTTCCGCGCGCCGACCTATGCAGCCGGGCCTCATGTGACCGCGAACGCCGAGGACCCTAGGGCGCGATTCTCGTGTGCACTGCACAGCGCGTCACCAACACCCAGAAGACTCGCGACTGTTCAGAGCTGAAGCGCATATGCCTCCACCGTTTCTAGATCTCAACGAATCGGAATTGCCATGACGTTATGATTCATTCCCTGAACTCCGCCCGCAATGCCGCCCCGGCGTCGTCCGCCGGTTTGGCCTAGCCGTACCATTTGCTCGCCAGGACAACCCAGGCTACAAACAAGATGGCACTGTCGCTCCCACAGGGTAGTTGGGGTTTCTCGATGTGCGCCCACTGCATACCGTCAGATCGAGTAGGACGGCGCCTCGATATGGCCAGCGGCCCAATGTTCGTCAACGCGCAACTGCAGGAGACCAAGACAAGGGTAGGCTGGTGGGTTGAACCTGATCTTGTTTGATGGAGGTTTACTGACAGGAAGCAGATCGAGACCACTTTCGACGCCACTTAGATCTATACGTCGAATACCCTCTATGTCCGTCGCTCGCCAGCCCTCCGCTACGCATCCGCACACGTTTCCTCACCGCCGCCGAGCTCGCGCATACACAATAAAGACATCTGAAGACACCCGTGGCTACGTACGATGCCCTCGTCTCGCGGTCTCTGTGATATTGGTCCTGTCCTTACGCCAGCGTCTTGCCACGGGAATAGTCAACTCGCTTGTCTGAGCCCTTCGTCCACGAGTTCTCTTGGGAAATTATTCTTCGACCCGATTAATAGCGAACACTAAGAGCATGGTTGGCGTCATGAATGTCTTTCACCTGTGGAGATGCTGCGTAATGGGATAGGCAATGCTTCATGCAGTCATGCTACCCTTTCGTGTCTAATATCTGGCTGACTTGACGGGGCAACAGAACAAGAGAGTAACGTTGTCATATAAAAACAGAAGAGCAGATTCCACATATCGGTCCACGATCGAGGGGTCTTTCTGGTACGCTGGGTCACGTCTCATCGATTCCAGCTTCTCATTCTACGGAATTCGCACGCGCGAAGTGTTCGATACATATCTCCAATGGTCTCACAACATTTCTTACGAACTCCGTCCTCCAATTCTTGTTTTTATCCGAAACCCCCACGTCAAAGCACCATTTTACAGCTGTGGCATAGTCGTCTCCGCCTTCTCCGCCTACACTGCTAGCCCACTTCATCGCAACTAGCACGTCCAATGCATGCTCGGCGTTGGTGTCCGTGTTAGGTAGATGAATCTTGCGCGTAGGCAGGTCTTCCAATCTACGACCAAAGCAAAGCTCCACGAGCAGGATACCGAGAGCATAGAAGTTACGATCATTCACCGATGATCCGGAGGAGGAGGACTGATTTTGATCATGCGACAAGTCTTGCCGGATGAAAGGCTCCCCGTAGATAGGGTCTTGACTATCTTCCTTGCGAGGGTAAAAGATGACATCTCTCTTACCAAACCCTGTTCGCAGCCAAGGAGTGGACCGTAGTTGTCCAACCGACGAAGCGAGAAGAAATGCGATCCGGTAGCGCTGCCGCCGGGAGATGGTGCCCTCAAAGTCTTGAGAGAGGATGTGATCGAGCGTTATGGGAATGTCCCCATCAATTTCCTTGTCTTGAACGGCGGGATGAACATGGAATGCTTGCCCGTCATGGCTAACGATCCCCATGCAATCTACACGATTCGTGTCGCACAATCGCTGGCACAGCTCCATCTTCCGACCGATGACCGAGTCGAGGACGATTTCCTGTATTTTCGGCTTGAGGGGAGTAAAGCCTACTGTCTTTCGTCTCACAGTGGGTATTGATAATGATGCCCTCGGTATTGGCAAAGCTGCTGGACTTGGCTGACGAAGAGGTGGCGCTAGAGTCGCAGGCGTCGCTACATTGTGAACGGCCGAGCAACTAGACATTTCACCGCAACTGATCCTTCTCCAGCGCCATGGAAGGGGCTCATAAGACAAAGGGGCGATGAATGTGAGGACGATCTCAAAGTATACTTCGGCAAATGTCCGATGCTCCAGTCGCAAATTTGTAGCGTGGTGCGGCTGGCACGAACACTGCCAAGAAGTTGTCAGTGCCCTATAGAGAAGATTGGCCTTGCTTGCTATCTTCCTGAATGTACTATCCATCGATGAGATTTGCTTGGTGTATCCGGGTGTAGCATCTTGACATGCAGAGACTCTATCGCTAGAGCGTACGAGCTTTTCCAGGCGCTCGTTGCATTCTTTAAGCTGGTCAACCAGTTCGTTTCGCTTTCTTTCCCCAAGGCTGAACTTCATCCGGAACATTTCATATTCCAGATTTCCTCTTGGAACGGGAATCTTTGAAGCTCTTGAAAAGCCTTGAAGGCTTGGCGATTTGTTGCGACGCTGCCCTTTCTGTTCTGGTAGTGAGAGCCCGTCTTGAATGCTCTCTTTATCGAAGCGTATCTCCCTGTTGAATTCTTTTACCACATCGTTCATGTCGGTAATGATGCTCAGGTACAGCTCGTATGATTCATTCAGCCTTCCTTCCAATAGCTTTTGCAAAGCTTTGTCATCCCATCCCTGACCGCCCGGGTCTGCTACCAGTCTTGCAACCTCATCCTTATTACCGACAAGTGGTATCAGAAGTTCCTCGAGGTTCTTTGTGTACAAGACCTTGTGGAATTCAATGTCTTGTTGACATTTCTTATGGTGCTTTCGTATGTGCCAATAAAGGTTACGGACCTTCGCAACGTCGCGCCAGTGCTCGATGCCGCTTAGTAGGAGTGGGAAAGCGCCAAGAACAACACCCGCTACTTCTAGACCGCTCATATCGTTTTTGGGAGTTGTACTATTAGGAATAATTTTGTAATAGATGGCAAGGTGAGAGATTTGAAGCGGGAAGGCTGAGATGGAAGGAGGGGTCGGCGGGCTGCACAGGTGGATTCCCCGCACCTTTCGCCCCCAAATTACGTCCTGAACAGCTTCCAAGCCCATGACGTCCTCACACTGAAACCAATCAGACTCGCATCTTCTCTTGCGCCTCTGATCTATGCGCAATCTTTCTCTATGAAAGATCTAAAACAGCGAAACTGCGTGTGCGATACTCTGCACTGACATCTGTCTCGACTCTCGACCACCTCCTGCGATCCGTTCGCTTGCATCTCACTGAAGGATAAACCATGACATCCTCGATGTCAGAGCGATGTCGCGCCTGTGTCAGAAACCTCAGAGACGTGATCTCCGCCCTATCCGAGCCAGGGTCCACCGGTGAGCATGTCGAACAAGCCCAGGTTACCGAGGAGTTAGACAGATTCACTCTTTTTGTTGGGAACATAGGTGGTTTCCATGACCCTGAGTCATCCATGTCTGTCGAGTCGCGGCTACGTGAGGCAAAAGATGTGCTCAACCACATCTTTTGTCTCCTGGACGACCTGAATGAAGCTGCAGAAGAGCTTCGCCAGATTGTCTCTGGTGAAAGACAGGGTATGACATGTGTTCTTGATGAGAATGAGGATGGCAAAGACCTGAGGACCAGCGAGGAGCATGAGCTTCGAGACGAGATCCGCGCAACTATCACACGGCTCTTTAGGGTTTTATCCCTCGTACGACAGGCAGCGCCTACAGACCCTTTCGCCAAAGCTCTCAACCGGAATCGCTATCACTTCAGCGATCAGTATGACATCGCCCATGTTGGTCAAAGATATCCAAATCTTGACACGGAGGACAAAACCTGGCTTCGCCAACGTCTTGGAAGAGCTATAACAGATAGGCGGCGCTATCTCAGCTATATGCAAGATCACCGTGATAAATTGGAAAGGGAAATCGATCAAGATGAGGATGCCAAAGATACCACGGGAAAAATACACGCTCCTACCACAGATCAGCCGCGGGACCACGACTCGAGAACAGACATCATAAGCCGCCCATCATTCTCAACGCAGCCAACTACCATTATTCCACAACAGATCACGCTTGGTTTACTGAATGCAGAAGAGCTAGACTCAGGCGACGATACTCATTCGTACACAACCGTATCTCGCTCAGTCGATGGAAATGACGAGCCGTCTGATACAGTCCGTATACCAAGGCTTGAGAACCTACGTTCTGGCGACAGAAAGGAGATTGAGTGCCCCTTCTGCTTTCGGGTCAAAAATTTCAAGAACGAAAGTGTGTGGAGACAACATGTCTTCTACGATATCCGTCCTTACGTCTGCACATTCCCGGATTGTGATGCACCTTATTTCGGGGATATCAACAAATGGTTTCAGCACGAGATGTCGTATCATCGAGTGGCGTACAAGTGTTTTCTTTGCCCGAACACGCTATGTCACCAGGAGAAAGACTATGTTGCCCATCTAAAACGGAGACATCCAAGCACGTTTGACCGTGCCGAGAGCGAACAGGCTAAGACTCTCGCTCAGGTACCGCTCTCTGAGATACCAGCAGCCGACTGTCCATGCTGCACAGATTGGGTCGATCGTTTGAAAGAACATGCAGGCCTTGCAGGTGGACTAATGCCTAATGAGGTCTTGACTGTGAACCCAACAGCATTCAAGCGCCATCTCGCGAAGCATTTGGAGCAACTCGCAGTTTTTGCTATTCCGACTAGCGCTACAGTTGATGATCCAGATGATTCAACCGATGCTCATGAGGTAAGGAGCTATCATACGGCTGAGTCGGAACTCTCAGATTTGAGCTTTTCCAGCGAACGTCGCCGTGATGGTACTGTGTCAGATGGCGAGAAATCCTCCGGAAGTGCACAACACACAGTCATCTCCGCTGCTGAAGATGCAAGTCCGATGCCGATTTGGAACTCGCAGTATGGGAGATATTTGCACACATCTTTCGATTCGACTTCTGGACGTCAGTTCTGGACTCATTATATAGAAGGTATTATTCTTGTGCGCAGGGTGTCTCACAGCAGGTCACTCACATAGTGCAGGCCAGGGCTGGGTTTTCTTCCAATGGTACCAAGCCGAACATCAACATGCCGATTCAGGTTCCAGCGGCGCAGCGCAAGCAGGCCCATACTTCCAAATAGGAACGGGCCAAGCTATCCCAGGCACTTATAACTACGCCCAACCAGCACCAAATAGCCATTTGGAGACGTTGGATTCCTGTACGTGTAATGACATACAGGAACATACAAGTGATTGACCTTGTATAGCTTTCTACATCCGGCACGGCAAATTCTTCCAGCCTGGCAAGGTGCGTTATGAGACGGCTTCAAACGAGTTCGATATCCAAGTACTAATGAGGCGCCAGGTCTTCTCTGTCCTCTTCAGTGAAGGGGCTGGATCGAATGCGACGCGGTACAATGACTCTATATCCATAGTCAAGTACGGGGGGCGGGTGCATACTCAGATCAGACGCTTTATAGTAGTCCAGGCAAAGAATGGCTTCGCATACTCCGTGTAAGTGACATATGCACAGCATTTGAAGCGCTTCGCTGATATCCTATAGTCCTATATTCACGTACAGTAACCAGGGAACTAACAAGCCTGGAGTTGTGCCTAGCGAGCATGCTATAGCTTATTCATACGGATACCAGCCAGTGCTCCTGCCCGGCGAGACCGGGATTGAGAAAGACCCAATCTGCATCATCATGAACCCAGGGGAACGCGCGCTTTCAACTGCATCCCGGATATTCTTCGGCATTCAGCATCCGATACAGTATAATGTAAAGGTCAAAGACTTGGGTTACGTTCATCCCGACCATCTCGTCAAATTTCGAGGCTACTGGGCGATGGAACAGCAGATGGGTAGTGCACAGGATATGCAAGATATCGGCGAAGACCACGACGGAAACGAACATCCTAACACAAGCACGCAAGGTTACTCACACCCACAAACTACGCAAGATGTCGACAAAGGCGAAGTCGAAAACATCGCTTCTAAGTAAGCTACACAAGGCTATACTTGATCAGTCACTCATGTTGCGTAATATGCTCCCTGTGTCTATTAGCCTTACTATCTGTTTGTTATGCGCTACCGTCAATTTGCACGTCACGTTATCGTCGCTCTCTCACATCCTTAAATACATTGCTGTGGTGGCATCATTTCATGTGCTGATTCGTGCTCTGGCAATGTACGTACCGGATGTGACGTTCATTTAGATAATAGTGCGTTCCCTCCGTGCATTACGGTAGCCGGATAGACGTGCTGAGTTCCCAGCGATAACTGTTCGGTGGCTTGTCTTGGAAATTTCATTGAGATTGCTACCCCGGATTCGTAGCTTCATCTTGCGTGGGTATTCGAGAAGGAAAATGAATAATTGCGCAAAGGTCTGCTTTAATATGAAACCACAGAACCCTCAATCCACAAAGCTACATATGGTCCTAACAAGATGTAAACTGCAATTTCGTCGATGGCCAATGCCGCCTGTCACCATCATTCAATATAGCTAGTGTCTAGCGTTTCAACCTTGGGTTGAAAGCACGTTTCCTAGAACTGTAATGGTAAATGATCTACGCCGCACCCCCAACAACACACCCCTCATTGGCATGCCAAATCAAATCCATCGCATAAACAAACAGCCTATCCTCGAAGAGCGTACGAGATGCATGTAGCCCGTCGATCTCATGTTGAACCCCCATAGCCCGCCGCGCTTCGGGTAAGTTATAAACCCAGTCGGCGAACAACACATACTCCCTATGATGGCTCCGCACAGTCCTTTGGCCATTCGTTAGATCCAACACGGGGTCATACCAAGCACAACGCTCGCCTTGATCATTGAACTGGAAATGCTGCCTACTGAACACATCCAGTTCATGCACATCTTGTTCGAGGCTACGCAGATTGTTCGAGAACATCTCGTAATCCGAAACTAGTACATTCATCGCAGGAACCAACGTGAACTCCAGCGTGAACTTGAGCTGATGAGCCTCAGTCGATGATGGTATATACTGCGCTTTCGTGCGGAGCGCGGTGAGACTCTTAACCAAAGCCTTGAGAGGAGCAAATATCTCTTCGTAGCTTAGAACGACGAAGGCGTTGTTGAGGGCTGTGTAACGGTCTACATCCAGATCCTCGTTGAGTTCCAAGGCGATGCGGGCGGCGCGCTGGGTTTTGTGGAAGGTGACGCCGGCTTCTCTATAGCGATCTTCCAATGAGTTGCAAAGATTGAGAAGACTATCGGCGCGTTCAATGATCTCTTGGATACCGGTGCGGGCTTTCTTGGCCTCCTCGTCGGCTTGCTCTGGAGGTACGGGTTCGCAGTTTGGACACATGTTGGTGATACGACTGATAGGTTGGATTGGTACTCCCTGGTTAGCTCTGGTTGCAGTGGCCGAGGGAAATGATAGGATGAAATTACGTCTTGTGATATAGAGTGCTATAGCAGCGAGCGCTGTGAAGCTTCACCCCTAGAGTATACATGTAGTCTGCACAGCGTGTTAAACTTCATTCACCCACCGTCTCACCAACCCTCGACGTCAGTAACCGCCAACATAGTCCAGTACGGGTCCTTCACGATTCCCTCGTTTTCCACCACGCCATCGACAAAAGCTTCCGTATATGCAGACTTTGACTTCACGACCCCATGCTCAATTTCCAGAAAAGTCTGTACCCACATCCGAAACATATTACCCTCGCGGCTGTGCTTAGCGGCCAGCGCCTCAGTTCCATCAAGATCGGAGCGCTCGGCGAGCTTCGCTACTTGCTCCTCCACCCATACCAGTCCAGCCTCCAGATTGCGGAGTGGTTTCGCCAGTTGAGAAAGCGTAAGTTCACATTCAGCTTCCAGTACGCGGAGTTGATCGACGTTCTCCGGAGCAGTACCTCTTGATATCACCCATTTCTGCAATACCGCATAGGCAGCGTCGAAGATTTCGTCCCATGGGTGAAAGAACGGTTCTTCAGAGCGTGCGCGGCCGATTTCGAACATTTGGCTGAGCCGTGCACACACAGTCTGATCGACTGCTTTCGAGCTACAAGTAGCGATTGAGCGTCGGAGCGCATACGGAACTTTGTGGTAGGCGATTCCAGCGACTCGAAACCGCCTTTCGTATTTGTCCAGTCTGGCGAGCCATGAGAGAGCCCGAGGCTTTGCCCAATCAAGCCAATCTTCGTATACCGCCGCAGGAGGTAAAAGCGCTGTGTTTGCGCTGTCTAATTGCCAGTCGTACGGTAGGTTGTTGATCCATGTGTCGATGCGCTTCTTCTGGGATCGTGACAGAAGCTGACCATATGTTTGTTTTGATGAGATAGCCATGGGTATTTGATCGTGTTTCGTGCAGGGCGGTCCCGCTCAGTCTTGTAGTACGGCTTGGGAAGTCGGCTGTTTCGTGTTGATATCGACTGATCGCGCAAGAGGAAGTGGTTGTAGAACGCGGTCGGGCGATGGGGTGAGGGGCTGTAGCCAGTGCTCGTCAGTCGCCTGTTGTTGTGATGGAAACGCACATGGCCGTTTGCACGTTGTGGTGTGTGCGCTAGTCACACTCATAGTGAATGCAGCTTTGGTCGTCGCAGCGTTTGTGGAAGCGCGGTTTACCGCGTTAGCCTAAAAGGTCTGCCGACGACAAGCTCGCGCTGCTGAATCAATTCCAACATCAAGGCTGGCCTTGAAGTATACAATATGTCTCACTTCATCCATCGTTCATATGGAGTAGCAATGTCTACTTCAGGTGTGGTGTAGAAGAGCGCGAGAGTTAAAACACACTTCGTAGAGTCAGCGCTCTTGGAACATCGCAAATACTTTGCATACTAAGCGTTCGGCAATGGAAACCCCGTTCTCTTCAAAGCAGCTCCATAATAGGAGAACGTCAAAACCAGAGCTCTGCGCCAACGTTGCGCAACTTCGATAGGATGGAGAGTGAGCGCTCCATGATTCTGATGACGTCACGCGTTCGCGCGAGCCGCGTCCTCACGTGGCAATTCACCTAGCTGAGATGAGCTTTGTTTTGGTCGCTAGTCGGTCTTGTATTCGGCGAAGATGAGGTGACATCCCAAGGATGTCGCGTCGCGTGTGGGTGAAAGAGGCTGGCTGGTACGATTGTCCCCTGAGATGGCTGGACTAATGACATCATCGATGCGACTCATGCACGCATGTGACAGGCAGGGCAGACCTGGAGCCCTCACACTTGACATGCCCACTACCAGCCTGCTGCACTCACGATGTTGCTGTGATGGGAAGTAAAGCAAACATGCAAACTTCATTAATCATCAATATACACCAATAACTGACTACCTAGGTATGTACCCAATCCACCAGTCAAAGATCTATGCAAGACATATACAATAAGCTCAAAGGTATGTACTCATCACATCGTAAATAACCGTTCCCCTCCCTATTTCGCATCAGCAGTAGCTGCTTACTGCCCGCCAACAGCGATAGTAAACAGCTTGGGGCTACCAGCGAAGATCGTGCCTGCCACGTCCTGACCACCATCCGGAACAACATCGTCATATGGGAAAGCATACCCGCGCCCATCCTTCTGCATTTGATGAACGATGCGCGAGTAGTGGTTAGTCGTCGGGTCCTTGTAATACTGGCTGGGGTTGCTGCCGTTGGGCAACTGATTGCCAGGCGTGTTTAGCAAAATGCTACGGTTGAATGCCGCAGCGAGACGGGGAATCACTGCGTTACGCGCTTGGTTTGATCCAGTTGCAAAGGGCCCGGTGCTACAGGTGAAGATATCCCTAGCTGATGGAGCAGCAAACTTTCCTGCCTCGCCTAGTTCGAGCTCGTTGCCTTGGACGCGGCCCTTGAGATTGCCGGCTGCGGCCTGGGTGTTGATGGTCATGTCTTCGTTACGGTACTTGTTCCACACTGCCTGGACGTAGCCGTTCCAGTAATCTCCCCAGGCATTCTCATTGCCGACAAGCAGGTTGTTTGGGCTCAGTACGCGCAATGGCTGCCCGTTGGCCTCGTAGATCAGCTTATCCCACGGTCGACCGTCACGCTGGGCTTGCGCGCGCAACTCCTCCATGATTCTCCGGAAGCCATCGGCGCCCATACCAGGTACTGTTTGGGTCTTGCCATCGTTGCTGGTCAAGCTGAGCGCAACGGGGATGCTGACGAAGTCGACGTAGCTAATATTGGCGAAGAGCTGTGCGTCGTTGTAGGTGAACTCGCAGAAGGTCCAGTTGATGTTGAAGTTGGGGTCGCTGGGGTTGGTTACACTGGGCTCAACGACGGCAGGGCCGGGATTGAGAAGGAATGTGAGCTTTGCGCCGATGCTGAACCAGATACGACCACCAGCGATCTTGGGAATTCTGACATTGACCGTGTTACCAGGACGGCCAAGTGGAATGGCGACATCGGCTTGAAGTGGCTGTTGGATATCCTTAGGGGCTACTGGGTAGTAGATGGACTGGCCGTCTGCTTGCACAAAGAGAGGAGTGTTGTTTCGCTCAAGAGCAAGGCCGGTGATGTAGCAGTATACATTGTCGGAGTTGGACTTGTTCTGCAGTGCCAACTGAAGAGTGCCAGGTGCGGCCTCAGCGAGTACTTGTTGCTGTTCGTTGTTGGCTTGTGGAGCTGCTGCGCGCTTCTCATTGCCGGCGTCAGCGGGAGTGGGAGCGGGTGGTGCCGGTGCCGGATTATCCTCCTGCTTGCCCCGATTTTGCCAACTCTGGCGGCGCTTGTTGACGAAGCTCTTGAACGACTTCATGATAGAGTGGAAGAAAGATTTCGGGTATAGTGATAAAGAAACGCGAAGTGAGAGTTAGGGATAATGCGAGTTGCAGAAAAAAGGTAAGGAAAGCAGCGAATATCAACAATGTTGTAATTGCGCAAACCGCGAGTACGTCACACAAGATATATCCTCGTCCAGTTATAGTCAATGCACTGAACGCGCCAATGTCCTGGATTTCAAGGCGTGAATGCAGGGTCCAGCTGATGTCACACATGCGACAAGATTCCAGGGCGATCAAGGCACGTGCAAACCTGTTGCGATCGCCGACTCGCGCGCCGGCCTAACGTCAACAATTTCGCGTTAGCAACCAATCACATTTTCACAAGCGACACCACCTTGTCGCGGCCCGATGGAGGAGAATCCCATCTTCAAACCACGCGTGGCGCGCTCGTGGCATCTGAATCTGACACTTAAAACGCGGGGTGCAGTGTGCGTGGTATCTTGGGACTGGTATTGGACGGCGCCCGGTGGGCGGGTTAGTGTCGTAAAGGAAGGTATTAATGAGCGGTAAGCGGAAGTACGCGATGCTTTGCGACAGTGTACATTGGAAGAGGCCCGTTTTGCCTACGTTGCGTCTGTTCCAACGCCTATCAAACACCGGAATTGTCTGAGATAATCACGGTATGCCACGCCAATATGCTGAAAACGCGTACAAACTGTATGCCCCCACAGGAAACGGCTATCGTACAGTCCGATGTAAGATGCTTTGTACAATAGTGAGATCGGCAGTCTGATTCACATGCTAGGGCGAAAGGCCTCGAGGCATGCCCACGAGCTCGCAGACGAGTGATCTGTAATGCGAACAGCGCAACGGCGCGATGCAACGTCTTGCAGTGCGTCAAGTTGTCGTGAACAAAGTCGCGCATGACTGCCCGTGGCGATTATTCGACGTCCTGATACGGGGATCAGAACGGTGCTCCATTTCCAAAAGACATGCCAGTATAGTTGTTGTAGCTGTCCTCTCCCCAAATACCTCCCGCCATATCGAAGAATTGGCTCATGTCGAAGTCGGCACCCCTCATGAGCGCGAAGGGGTCGTTGCTAACCTCGGTCACCGGGACTTGGTTCATGTCTATGCCGAAGTCTTCCATATAGTTGGTGCCTGCTAGCGTGTCGTATTGATCTTCCGCGTGTCGTGTCGGACACGTTGTTGGTGCGCTGGTGATGGGACAGGAGCTTCCGCTCATACTCCGCTCAACCGAGTCGCTGGGCGTAGATACTGATGGCGTCTGGCTAGGCCGCTCCGGTCGGATTTTGCGAATGTACCAGTTTTTTGTCAGTTCATTAATCATCCGCATAGCGTGCCAGAAGTCGGGGTGGGGTCGCTTTGTTTTATCGAACGTCGATAGAGTCTGCATCCTATAGCAAAGTGATTCAAGACAGAGATCTAGGCGCACTCTTTCTTGAGCAGCTTGAGTATCCCACCCGATGGCGGCGTGGTCTTCACTAGGTATGCATAACTTGGCGACCGTCATGATGACTGGTGGTAATCGCATCCATTCCGAGAACGATATGAGGTGATATTCGTGGGCTGGAAATGAAAGCAAAGTATCGAGAAAGCGCTTGCTGGCTTCAAGAGCGGAGAGTAGGCTGTTGATCTGTGACGAACGTACCGATGCCGGTAACTCCGAAGGAGACGGCCGAAGGGCTACGCTGTGCAGTTGCATCTTGGCGTATGAGAAGGAGAGTTCGAGTAGTCGTTGAGAGGGGACACCGTTGCACTCCCGTTTCCATGTATCGAGTTGTACATCTATGAATCGAACGTGCATCAACGCTCGCCCATCAGACATTGGCAGTTGCGAAGTGTTAGCTGTGAACAACTCATCTTGTACTTGGTCATCAATCTGCCGCAGAGATATCAAAAGGCTAATGGTCTCATCGGTTTCGTACTCGCGATCTTGCTTCAAGCTTTGCGCCCACTCGGTCATGGTTGAAGTATGCCTGAGCAGATTCGGCTTCTGTAAACCCGCCGCAACCCTGCTAGAGTCAGCATGCAAAGTCACAATCTGGTGAAGAGAGCACATACATGGACGAAAGGTAATAACAGCCTAGGAATGCACGGCGTCTTTCGCGCAGTTCCTCAGCTGGTGGTGGTGGAGCTGGAGGTCGCTTTGGCAACATTGGAGAGACTAAAGGCTGAAAGTCTTGGTGTAGGCCGATGTCTAGAGCCAAGCCTGTGACGAGATTATGCAAAAAGAAGATTTGCTGTGTTTTGTGGCTGAAGACAAAATGATACCTGCGCGGATTAGTAGATTTTCGGTAATGGTGGGTACCATCCTACCATGAGAGATAGACCAGTACGCTTTGAACTAGGCCCAATGTCCTCCGGGGTTGCAAGATTGTTCTATTAGCGAGCTCTTGGCGAAAGATCCCATCAAGTGCCATCTGGCGAGTGTGATGTTGCCATGATGCCACCAAGAATATCGCGAGTGAAAGCATGGGCCTGTGCTCATGAAGCTGTCTTGCAGTGACTTGAGGCGGTAGCATAACAAAAGGGAACGTGGCCGACATCTTTCGATACTCTATCAGTAGTGTGTCTGCTTCGCCGGATGTGAGCAACCGCTGGACAACCTCATGCTCGATAGGAGCTTCGGGTCTTTTCGAAGTCCTAAAGATGCCCTCACGAGCGTTAGGAGCATCTTCACGGTCGTCAAATCTGTGTATGGTGCGGATCTCCTCAAGATACTGTCGATCGGCTTCAGCACTCTCTGATGCATCGTCGGTACTTTGGTCAGGCGGCACGGCGTTCGGTTCGTAGGATGGTGTCGGCATCCAGCTACCCGGCGCCGTGTTAACTACTCCCCGATTCCGCCAACGCTCCGCTGCGATGTCTCTAGGGACTGGCTGCGATGCATTTGCTGAGTCTGTTGTGGCTTCACTGTCAGCCGCATGGACGAGCTTGGCTACCAGGCCATCGATCTTTTGCTCGACCTGCGCGATTCGGCTACGAGTATCATGAGTTGAGATCGAAGTAGACGGGCAGCGACTTACGAAGGGGCACGCAGCTTCCTCGCTCTACGCGGCGCTTCTGCCCAGACACATTCCTTGCCGGCTGAGAAACATCTGGCGGATGGTCAGCGTCTTTGTAAAGACATGAAGATGTGGAGCCACGGCTAAAGTATCACGCTCCCATTGGCTGGCGTACCTCTGACATAGTCCAGATTGGGCGCTCGGCAAACATCGCGTCTTCAGGTTCCGGCAGCGTTGGCACGCCTGTGTTGTTCGCGGTACACCCGCTCTCGCGGACGGTTGCTCAGTTTCCTCCATCCGATGCGATGGCGCAGGATCGCTGCAGGTGCGAGGAGAGGGCAAGAGCCAGACCCAGCACGGGACGGAGGGACGATCAACATCCGTCCCGGGTCGCCTGAATTACTCATCGACGCTAAACTCCTGGGGTCAACTAGGTACCGCATGAAATGAACACTACAAACATAATATATTTCAAAGCACATTTGTATCCATTGAGTGCTCAACGAAACATTGAACCTTTACGCTTCAGATTTACAAACTTCCCTTTCTGCTCTAACACTTCCCAGGCTTCGTCGTTTGGAACCTTGGGAACCATCAGACCACGAGAGACTTCGGTCATTGTGTACAACTTTCAAGCGCACTCATTCAATCTAAAACTGTAGCTTTGAAGCCAACCTCCAACCGTACCAAAGCGTTGCACCAATCGTAATGAGGTTCAGATGTATGCTCATCGCATGAGCTCTAGAAAACGCCCGATTGAGAACCTTCATGTCATCGCTAATGGCTCCATTGAGCTGCGCTTTCCCATCGCGAGTCACTTATTTTTCCATCAGCTATCAACGAAGTCGCGAAGATCCGTGCATACTCACCTTGATGAACCCTTTCCGCCATCAAGTCCTTTGTTCTCGGACCAAATACAACCAAATTGAACCCAGCAGTAACACCAGCGACTGCGAAAGCGATCCAGTCACTCTTCTCTGCAAGCAACGAAAGTGGCCCACGAGGCGGAAATGTCGCAGCGACGATGAGTAAAAGAATCGACTGGCTTTGAAAGTATATTGGAAAGACCCGCTTCTGCAGAGTCGTAAACGCCGATCTGGGAAGAGCTTGGTAGCAGACTTTCGTCATTACAAAAGTCTGGTAGAGCTCGGTTCCGAGTAAGGTGGAGTAGGCCAGGAGGTGGACAGGCGGAAGAACAGCCGCGACATAGTCAGGAAAGGTAGACATGGCAACGCCAATTCGATTCAGAGAACAGATTGCGGTATGAATCAAGAGCCGCTATGAGATATCGATACCCATGCCGCATCAGCAAACCTTTGACTTTCGCTGCCGCCTAGCATGGCGGATCTGATCGGAAGTCACATAGACGTTCGCATCCGTCCCGGCGAGGCTCTAATGCATATGTTTTCCGCGCCCCAAAGACCTTCCGCATCACCAGCTACAGTATGCGACACGAGTAGATAGAGTCGCGAAATGCTTGTGGGCGTGTCCTGCGCATGACGGCATGAAGCAGCTCGGGCAGCATTATCGCGAGGTACCTGACGATTAGCGCCGCACCCCGCAACTCCTTTACCATCCATCCCAACTCCCCGAGGATCTGCCACCACCACGCAGCTTCCGGTCATGCTTCCGCGCATCACGAGCGCATGTCGAGCTGCTTCAGGCAAAGTGAAGATGCAATATGGCACCCCAAATCTGGAAGATCTCTGCTCTCCATTCCGCCGGCGCAATGGCTGAGCGCAGTATAGCTGTCACTGTCACTGCTAACGACGTACATATGTACTGGATGAAGCTCACACTCTGGGATTCATAGTAGCATCTCATTAGACAATCGAAAGCCTCCAATATGCGCGCCACACTCCTGTCCCTCCTTCCTCTCGCTCTCGCAGCACCAGCCGTACTTCACCGACAAGCCACGAAACCCATATACTGGCTCCTAGCCGGTGACTCAACAACCGCCACCAACGGCGGCTGGGGCGATGCCTTCCTCTCCACAACCGTCGCGGATGGCTCCTCAGGTCACAACTACGGGCACAGTGGCGCGACAACAAGATCGTTCCGAGCTGGCGGCGACTGGGCCAACGTGACCAGGGACATCGGGACGTACAAGGAGGACTACAGGGTGTATGTGACGATCCAGGTATGGCACCCAATGACGAGGAACAGAGATTTCGGGTGAGGAAGAGGAACAAAGTAGCTAACATCCCACCAGTTCGGCCACAACGACCAAAAGCCCACCTCCGGCGTCTCCCTTACAGATTACCGCACAAATCTCGCAACCTTCGCCTCTGAAGCCGAACAAGCAGGCGCGATACCCATTCTCCTCTCACCCCTCACCCGCCGCACATTCAACACAACTACGAAACGCGTTATCGAGAACCTGTCGAACGAAACAGCCATCACACTCGATGTAGCCGAGGCCAACGACTTGCACATTATCGATCTGAATAAAGCATCGACGGCTTACGTGAATGCGATTGGACAGAAGGGCGCGGATACGTATAACTGGGGTGAGAACGGCACAACGGGAAATGATCGCACGCATCTGAATCCGTGGGGTGAGGTGGTGTTTGCAAGGATGGTGAGTGATCTGTTGGTGGAGAAGTACGGGGAGGAGTTTGGCGAGTGGACGGTGGGGAATGAGACATTGAGTGCGTTGATCAGGGATGGGAAGGTGGCTTAGGTGAGTGTTGGTCAGATACTGGACGAACGAGAGAAGCGTGGAGGTAGCTAGTTTGTTACAAAAGGACTGCATTTGAGCGCATTTTTACACGATATGTTACAAGTACAAGAGGCCTTTTCATCCATACCCCTGCCCTTCATACCCACCACTAGCCCACCTCCTTCCCTGCGCCTCGCCCTGACCCTGCGCATTGCTGAACGTAGTTGTACTCGAGTTCGGCGTATCCCAGGGTGCATACTGGCTACCTGTATTCATAAACTGACTGCTCGGCCTCGAAGCCGGAGATGAAGCTGCACTTGTATGCGAATAAGGCATGTACGGTTGCTGCGTTGGAGGCAGCGGTGGCGATGTATACGGCAAGTACTGTTGGTGAGGGGGCTGCGGTGCCTGCGATGGACCTGGATACAACCAAGGTTGTGCCTGATTGAACTGCTGTGATTGCCGATGTGGAAGTGGCGGTGGGTATGATTGATTTATAGCACTATGGTTATTGCCCTGTGGTGTAATTGGAGGTGATCCATACTGTGGTGGAGACGCGATATGCTGACCCCGCGCAGCGTAGTCGTGTTCTGATATTGATCGGTCTAGCGGTGGTGTGGGCTTCGAGTAGCTTGACTGCCGCTGCTGGTGGTACCGATTGACTGCTTCCAGGTTTGCGACTGACTTGCGATTGACAGCCTTGCTGTTCCTCTTGAGTCCGTGGTCTGCACTACCCTTTCTCAACGTCGTGCTGTCAGGCTGCGGGACGCTAGCTGTGGATCCAATCGAGCTGTGTCTCTGTGATGGGAGCGAAGAGGCCGAGTCTTGTCGTTGTCGGTCGTCAATGGACGATCGCATACCTTCGGACGATAATGGTGGAGATTGAAGTTTGCCCTGAGCAGGTATAGGGGATGAATGGCCAGCGTACGAAGATACTGGGACCTCTGGAGCCGGCTGAGCATGTGTAACCGTTACAGCCTCTGCCCTTCCCGGTCTGAGGTGAAAAGGCAGACTCCAGGGCTCCTGGGAGTGCTGGCCATGTGGTGGTGCAACTTCCTTTTCATCGCTGTGTAAACTGGATTCGCGCACTGCTTGCAAGGGCAATGGTGGTACCGGACGACGGCGGTTTATCCCAGCACTAAGGCTTGACGGAATCTCTTGGTGCTTTACGGTCCTGAACCGCTTCACTGTTGGGTTGCGTTTGCAGCGATCCTGTGCCTCTCTCAACAGTTTTCGTATCTTGGCCTCTTCCGACAAATCTTCTTCAAGTTCCACATCGGTGACACTGCCTGCGTCCGTCTGTCCAGCCACGGAGACGTCGTCACCTTCCCATTTGTCGTCATCAGTCTCTTCCTCCTCTTCATCATCGGAATCTTCTTCCTCGTCCTCATCATCGTCATCATCCAGATCGGAATTTTCATCCTCTTCTTCTGATGTGTCAAGTGCTTCGGTTGCAGACCCTCGATTCGGATGTCGTGCGTAGACGTTGGCGCCCGCTTTGAGTAAAGCGTCCACACAGGCTGATTGACGATGAGCGCAAGCTTCAACGAACGCTTCATCCAAGAGATTATCCGGAGGTTTCATCGCGAGAAACTTGTCCAGAACAGTCTTGTTGCCTCGGATGGCAGCCGCGGAGATAGCACTTCGGTACATTCCGCCCTGAACCCGAAAGTCTGCTCCAGCATCAAGTAGCTTGACAACCACTTCCATACGATTGAAGTATGAGGCAGCCACAAGAGCAGTGTGATACTTGCCATCATGATGATTAACAAGTTCGATAGCTCGGTCGAGAATTTCCTCAATGATAGCCATATCGGCTTTCATCGCTGCCGTTTGTAGGGCGTCGCCATACTTCCCTCCCTTTGCGTGTATATCGGCCTCATGTTCTATCAGTAGCTGTAACACGCCCAGGTCGTTGCCGTAAGCTGCTGCAGATACCGTAGAGCCAAGTAAACCTCCTTGCGCTGAAGCATTGGCACCGTTGTCGAGCAAGCGTTGCACGACGGGTAAGACGCCAGACTGAGCGGCAGCCAGGATGGGGAATCCGTGTAAGCCACCACTAGCGTTTACATCGGCGTGATGTCTGATGAGGAGCTTTACGATTTTGTCAAAGCCGCCGGCAGCGGCTGCAGAGAGTGCACCGCCAAACTTTCCATTCGCTGGCCGGATGTTGACAGCCGCACCATGCTGTAACAGCTCTTTGACGATGTCGAATGAGCCAGCAGCACAAGCCGCCTGTAGAGCCGAACCATACTCACCGGATATGGGCTCCGTGATGCTAATGTCGGCACCGGCTTTCAGTAAGACTTGGACACTTTCCATATCCTCGGCCCATGCAGCAGCTTGCAGCGGCGTTCCATATGGCCCACCAACAGCGTTGACATCCGCGCCAGCTTGGAGCAATACCTCGCAACATTCCTCATCGCCTTCGGCCCTGTGTAGAAATTAGTCTCTTTGAAGATGACCAGGGCTGCTTGAACTTACGCTGCAGCGTGGAGTGCTGTACCGTACTTGTCGCTTGAAATGTGCACGTCGGCGTTGTGAGAGATAAGGAATCTCAGCCCATCTGCATCGCATGAGTCGGCGCAGTTGATCAAAGCTGTTGTACCTCTAGCGCAGGCTGCATTGATGTCGTGGACGTTCTGCAAGAGGAGCTCCAGGTTTTCAGTGAGCAATGTAGATGCTGCCAATGAAATCACTGGCCAATTATCCTCCCCTCCGCGTACGTTGACATTAGCACCATGTTCAAACAAAATCTTGGTTGCAGTGCTGTCGCCTTGCTCCACCGCAGCAACAATGGCATACGAGAAGTGCCCTCCGAATGCGTTCACATCAGCTCCTTCTTCGATAAGAAGGCGAATGGTGTCTTCATCGCCAGTATGAACAGCAGCTTGCAGCTCGGTGCCGTAATAACCAATTGGTTCAGTATTGAGCTTGGCTCCGCGCTCAAGTAGCAGTCGAACGTTGTCGGCATCACCATGCCATGCAGCGGCCTGGATGCATGTGCCGTAATCTCCACCGCGTTTGTTGACGTCCGCGCCTTTATCAAGAAGAGCCTTCATGATGTCTGCTGTACCGTCGTATGCACTGGCGGCTAACGCAAAGCCATACGTAGGCCCTTCCGTATCTGTGTTGGCGCCAAAGTCGAGAAGCAGCTCCACGGTCTCCAGGTGCTCGTTGTCGGTAGCCTGATACAGGGCCTCGTCTAGTTGCGTTTGATCGATTCCCTTTGGATGAAGTAACTTGAGCACTTCCGTTCTACCGTAGAAGGCGGCCAAAGAAAACGCTCTCTGGTACCTGATGATGCACGACGGTACTTTGGATTCTTTTTCCAGAACGGCGTTGACAATAGCATCGTAGCCCCGTTGCGCAGCAGCTTGCAATGCCTGTTCGAGCACGAGAACGCGCTCCTCTTTCTCGAGCAAGATCTCGAAGACTTCTAGATGGTTGTAGGTAGCAGCTGCGTTCAAGAAGCTTCCATAGGTCTTCATCGGTCGGCTCAGGTTCCACGACTGTGACAAGAGGTAACGGACAACATCAGCATGTCCACGACGGGCGGCGGCACCAAGTGCAGACCCGTAGAAGTACTCTTCGTTGGGGTCAATACTAGCGCCTCTCTCGATCAATAGGCGAACAGCTTCAGTATTGCCTGAGAATGCGGCCACATTCAGCGCTCTTCGGCCAGGGCCACCAATGACGTTGACATCGGCGTTGCGGTCGAGCAGAAGCTTCACGACGCGATTTTCGAGGTTGCCCGCAGCCGCGTAAAGCGCTGTTCCATGGTCCGACGACGAGGCGTTTACATCGGCCTCGCGGTCGAGTAAAGTGCTGACAACATCGTAGTGGCCGTTCCTTGACGCAGCATGCAGCGCGGTAGGATTGGCGCTGCTGCTCGAAAAGTCAATGTCAGCACCTGCTCCCAGTAGCGCATTGACAATCTCTCCACAGCCACCATCGCATGCGTAATACAGAGGCTGGAAACCCAGTGAGTCTTGTAAGTGGACATCCGCCGTCTCCCTGTGGCTAAGGATGTGGTCGACTAAAGCAGGGAACTCGAGGATTACAGCGACATGGAGTGGCGATACGTCTTTTTGATCTGTCATGTTGTGAACTTCTTCTATGGTCTTCCACCATTTTTGACGAGCGTCAGAGGCTTCTTGCCAGAACGAGTGGTCGAAGTCAATCTCTTCGAGCACATCCGGTGGTGCTCGCTTCGCATGTTCCACCCAGTACCGAACAGGATATCGTAGATCAACGTCTAGCAGACCTTCGTCTTGATTTTCTTCTCCAACCGAGGATGAATCAGCCTCGTCTTCTTCTTCATCTTCATCGTCTTCGTCCTGTTGGTCATGATCGTCCTGTTCGCTTTGTTGGCTGACGCTATCGTGTACTGACTTGCTGTCGGCTTCGGTCGTATCGGTCGCCTCTTCTGCTTCGACCTCAAGATCCTCCGCTGGCTCTTCTTCCTCTTTTTCTTCCTCTTGATCTTCACTATCGTCCTCTAGCTCGTGTTCTGCGGTGTCTTGATGTTTGACGGCGTCGTATATATACTCCAACGAACGCAACGCGATGATGCCATGCTGAACATCGTCGAGATCCAGAGATAAGTCGTTCTTTGCATACTGTCGGAGATGTTCCTGTGCGGAGATATCGATCCATTCGACAGTGCTGTTATCCAGATCCCAGTCGTTACCTCTCAAGGTGAAGAATGCACCACAGCGAACTATGTATGCTTTCAGCTTGTCCACATCGTTGCGATGTTGCTGAGGTAGCTCGGCCATGATCGCAAGTTCGCGCATGGTGGGCGCTACATACGCCGAGATTCTGCAACGCAATATCTCTTTCGTGTATTCATGGCCCTCCGCTTGTGGGTTTAGGACGCGCTTTCGCACGTGCTCAAACATGTCGGTCAGACCATACGGAAATGACTCCAACAGTCTTCGGATCTGTGCGTGCTGTGTAGATCCGGGGACCCACGCATTCTTGACTTCTTGTACGACTAGACTAACGTAGATCCAGTTGTCTTCCGCGCGCGAGTAGATGTGGCGCTTCACGAAATATGCCAAAGACCTTGGAAGATCCAGCTCGTCGACGCTGTTTGATATGTGCGCTTTGAGGTCGTCACTAATCTGCGCAGAGTTCTCCGCGTCGCTCAGATTGATCTCCAACGATCGCGGTCTCAAGCATTTCTCGATGTTCGGGCGCCCGCTGCGATTGAGAAGCAGCCATCTAACGGGTTGACACTCTTCTTCATCGTTTGTCGTACCCTCGGTCTCTAGCGTCTCTGACATGTACCGCAAGAATTGTTCCAACGATTCTTCCGCAAGCTGCTCCACACCATACACCACGATGTAGATCTTAGTGTTAGGCAGATCCCGCGCCATCTTATGTAGTGCTATCCATAAAGCAGGCACCTTGAGTATCTCTTCAGTGTCAAAGCTTTGCTTTCCAGCGTCTTTGCTGCTCCGAGAATCTGAAAGCAGGTGTCGGGCAAGATCTTGGTCCATGTCGATCATCTGGCGGACAGCCATTTGCAGCAGACCTTTCAGCGATCGTCGCATCGTGTCGCCCTGGTCGCAAAAGAACGATATGATCATAGAGTTGTTTGCTTGTGCATTTCGGAGAAGTTCAAGAGCAGAAGATGCGATCGCACCTTGGCCCGTACCAGCCTTTCCATGGATCCAAAGGATGGGACTTGCGTTCAAGTTCTTCCAGGTCTGAAAGTTTTCGATTTCCAACACTGATGATGACTTCGTGCCCTTCGCTCCTGTGTAGGTGCCCTTTACGGCGGCTTCTACGTCGGCGAATCCTTTGCCGAGCGCATCCATCATGCTGTGGTAGGTGCGATCATCGACTTGAGATTGTCGAAGCATGTTCTGACGCGTCTTGATGATGCTATCCGCCTTATTGGCTGTCTCACGGATCTCATCAGAGACGGAAGTGAAGTTACCATCCTTTGGCCCAGGGAACTTGTTGAGTTGGAAATGATCCGACATGAGAGAGATGCTGTCGAATGATTCGATTGTTGCCGAAGATTGTTCAACAATGCGCTCTTTGCTTTTGAGCCATGTGATTCCTTTCACGAGATAGTTAACCAAATCGCTATCGTTCTCTTCCCAGAAGCAAAGTAGCCGAAACTGAGCTTCTCGCGCCATATAAGAGAACTCGGAGAGTAGACTGCGCAAGATCTCCGAGTCTTTTTCCAAGACCTTGAGTAGACTAGACGGCGTACCCCAGCCGGCGACTTCAGCCATGGATGCCAGAACCATTGCCTTGGACTGGCTTGACGTGCCGTGAAAAGGTGTACCGAGGAAGAAGCATCCAGCGATCCAAGGATACACGTTGGGAAAGTCTGTTTGGCGCGATCTTGACATGAGCAGGGCCTTCTCGAGAATGATGCCCCCAAGACAATGCGAGATGAAGATGATGGGCGTTTTGGTTTGGTTCTCCAATACGTTGTTAGCATGTAGTCATCACGAGTACGTACTAACTCACCACTCGTGACCTATCGAGGCTATGTAGTAGTTTGTTCGCGACATTATCGATGCGTTCGTCGACTGATCCTTTTCCGAACCACTGCGACTGATACTGGAAAACGCTAATCTTGGCATGTGGAATCTTCTTCGGGAGCATATTGGCATCGCGAAGCCAATGCACTTTGCTCTTCTTCCATGTATATTCGGGGTCCGCTCCCAAGCCTGGAATGGCGATGATCCTCGAAGTTATTAGCTTTTGATTCTCGCGTTGGACTTCCAGCCACCTACTCGATTTTGGCCGAGAACTTTGACGTTGTCTGCTCATCACTAGGGTAGACAACGTTCAGTCCGGGGTTGAAAGACTGTGCTTGTAAACATGTAGAAAACCGAGTGTGAGCAGAACACTAACCTGTGCATCGAACTTCGAATGCTGGACCTTGGTGGCCGAGGCCATCGCGAATCGTGGTGCTGTAGCAAACCCGCGCTGCAAACTGGCAACTAAAGGCTACAGCGTAATGTTAAAACCATCTTGTGAGGTATGCGCTCTAAGTTTGGAGAGCGCCGCGTTTTCACCCCCTGCATGTGGATTTCCTTGGAGACTTTGGGGGCCGCTTATGTTGGGGGCCAAATTACCGAAAAGGGTAAGACGCATGAGATGGCGCACAGCCGCTTGATCACAACTGTATTGATTGCCGAGTATCGATCGTCTGGCGCTGTTCGCGATGGCGCGGGACCGGGGTAGAGGCTCGCCAGTACGCTGGGCGACGAGCTCCGGCCCTCTCTTGCTGTCGCATTCCCCTCCGGCGAGAACCGTGTTCTTCGTACAATGATTGACTGCTGCGAGGTCAGTAGCAGCCCTGTGAGCATCCGATAACATGCTAATATCGTGTAGCAAACGATGAAATGCCCAGTGCCGTTCCGCACGGCTCTGCTGAAGACTGAGAGCTCGGATGGTAGTTCAGGGCCAGAGGTTCCGTTGCTGCCAGCAACATACCGGAGAAATTACAAAATCGAGCCCGTCAGCAACAACATCGGCGCGTTCTTGGATATCGAGCTCAATGTCCGCCGACTGAACGAAGTCCACAAATGGTTATGGCTTGTGGGCCTTCCAAGCGCGCCGCGACCTCTTCATTACCAAGTGGTCAAGAAACGGGAAATTGTGGTGACAGAACAGTTGGATCTGCATCTTGTTTGGTCGTCAGCGTCTTCGTCGTCGATTCTCCTCAAACCGCTGCCTCGCTTCCTTCTCTGCCCAAACTTCTGGGTCACGGAGATTTGCCCACGTCGGCACCTGTACGAGACGGCACTGGGCTTCATGCTGTCGTACGTCGCGCTCATCGAAAGGGAGGTTGACTACAATCTAGCCATCAACCACGGCCTCATTCCTAAAGAAGTCACTTGGTCTGGGTGGCTGGCGCTCGTTGGCGAGGTCGTCTGCACCTCGGTACAGACGCATACCATCGATGCGTCGGCTGCATCGTCTGTAAGCTTGCTGGAAGACCGCCCACGCGTCAACCAACGCTTCAACTACGGCGAATTGCGACTCGGGCGACTGAACTGGATATATCGCTTGGCCATGGGCGAGTTGCGCGGGTACCTAAGCGGCTGCAGCACGTATGGAGCCTTTATGCGTGACAACGTTAACAGTCTCATCACGCTATTCGCATACACTACCATCGTGCTCTCCGCGATGCAGGTTGGGCTTGCGACAGAGCCTCTCGCAAACGACTACTCGTTCGGCATGGCGTCGTACGTCTTCTCCCTCTTTTCCATCCTGGCTCCACTCGCATGCATTGTCGCTATTCTTGGCGTTATAGCCTTTATGTTTGTCGTGAATTTGGCGCGCACGCTGAGGATTCGAGGGCAGAAGCGGCGTCAAGGTGTGAAGGTGTGAAAGCTCGACGCGACACGCGCCTGGCTGCTGGCAACGATGACGCGCTGCGGGCCGACAGCCAGGGAAGCGACAGCCCAAACATCCCCACCAAACCTCACCAGTCCCCCGGGGCCATCAACACCCACCAACCCCACCAAAGATAATTGATGAAACCCTAGGTCGCGATAGCTCTTCGCCGTCTATAGTAGCTAGGCATCCATGCCAGGCACCGACTGCTTGCATCAGTGGCCAGATACGGGCCCACAGACGACGCAACGTATCGCGATAATGCCCGAGGTCATCCACGCCTCACGGACATCAGTAGCGGGATTTCGCATCGTGCACGAGCAGAAAGATGAGAACAAAGTGCCAGTAATCCAGCGAAGAAGACTCGTATCAATAGGCTGTGTGCATATCTCTTTGCCCGGGCTGCAAGGGTGGCTAGAATCTGTGTCGTGTTTGCTGCATACACATCATTATATATTAAGAAGTAGCTAGCTCCTATTACGATGTATACTTCTACCTTCAAAGATATACTCAACATTTTCTAATGCTTTTGTAGACTGCAACAGGAGGTATAGCTATCGCAGCACACGGTCTTGCCTAGGTACCGACGGGCTAGAATAGACGCAGTAGTAGCGGTACCTAGGTACAGTATTACACAGCATCGTCTGTGACATCAAACGCGGTTATGATAGAATTCTGGTCGTCCCCGACGCACACGTTCTATTCGTACTTCAATCCAAGCCCATATTTGCATCGCCTGCCAGTTCAGACTCGCAGCGAATCCCTCCCTAACAGCTCCAAAGCTTCATGTCGATTGTTAGTTCCGCTAAGCCTGCTGAGCTCCAAAGAGCGAAGGAAGGAGTTTGTGTGTCAAGGCTCGGTGTAAGCACCTGCCGAGGAAGCTTTTATCCCGACACTTGACCTATTCCGACTCCTAGCGCTGACACTACGCCCTACATGACCGACACGGCCAGCAATCTCGAATGTCCATCTCTAACCTCATATTTTTCGACGAAATCGCCTCAAGGCACGACATCATGAGCGACGAACCTGTAGAGCTCACCAACCTTGGAGCGTCCAAGGTTGACACCCCACCAGAGGATGCTACACCACCCGTTCAATACCCGCGTGGTATCCGCTTGGCTTTGATAACTGTCGGCCTCGCTCTCTCCATCTTTCTCGCTGCTTTGGATTCAACAATCATCGCTACCGCAATCCCGAGCATCACCACGCAATTCCGTAGCATCAGCAGCTTGGCCTGGTATGGCTCGTCCTACGCAATTACCAACACCGCATTTCAATCTGCGTGGGGCAAAGCCTACCAGTACTTCAGCCTCAAAGCCACCTTCATGTCTGCAATTGCAGTGTTTGAGATCGGTAATGTAATATGCGCAACTGCACCAACAAGCGAGGTTTTGATCTTCGGGAGGATCGTGTCTGGCATGGGCGGTGGCGGAGTGATGACGGGTGCGTTCATCATCGTCGCAATGACAGCTGGACCACAATACAGGGCCGCCTATATGGGCGTGTTTGGCGTGACTTTTGGATCTGCAAGCGTCGTGGGACCATTGTTGGGTGGCGTTCTGACAGACGGCCCTGGATGGCGATATTGCTTTTGGTACGTGAACCCCGATCTGTGTTTTGGCTGCTTTACCGTCTACAACACACTCTCCACCAAATGTTTTGCGCGTGGATGGAAACCACGCAGGCATTATCAGGTCAAGGTCGGTGTGCTGACACTACACAGGATCAGCCTACCGATTGGTTTCGCTGCTGCGCTCACGATGTTCCTCTGTTTCCATGACCCTGGCAAGCCCAAGGATGTACCTCTCCGCGAGAAGCTCCTGAATTTGGACCTTAACGGCGCCATCTTGCTATCCGGATGCTTCTCTTGCTTCATCCTAGCCACGCACTGGATCGGCATCATGCCTCCGACTAGTGCTCGTATCATTGGCAGCTTTATCGGTTTCGTGGGCCTTTTCATCTGCTTCGCGATCAACGAACGCTACATGGGGAGCTGCGCGATGGTACAAGCTCGCGTGTTCAAGAACAAACTGGTCTTCGCCAATCTGCTATATGCATCCTTCATTGCGGGCGCCTTCTTTCCGCTCATGTATACACTGCCAATCCAGTTCCAATCTGTCAACAACAACACGGCTTCGCAGAGTGGAGTCCGACTTATTCCACTCGTCATGGGCGTCTCACTCTTCACTATGATATCTAACGGAACCCTCACCTTCTGGCGCCACTATAAGCCCTTCTTCTTTGTCGGCGCAATCTTGGCCGTAGCTGGGAACATAAAGATACACTCCTTGGATGCCAGCACACCAACTAGAGACTGGGTCGGCTTCGAGCTTTTGACAGCCACGGGAGTCGGCCTCGCTCTTCAGATCCCGATGATTGCCAATCAGGCTCTCGTTTCTGCAGATGACCTAGCCGCTGTAACATCGATGTCGCTCTTCATGGAAAATACTGGTACTGTATTCTCCGTCGCATCGAGTGAAGCGGCATTCACGAACGGACTGCTTTCAAGCCTCGCCCGCAACCTGCCCGAACTGGACGCGAAGGAGATAATGGATGCTGGCGCGACGCAGATCCGCGGGCTGTTCTCAGGTCATGAGCTTGATCAGGTATTGAGAGGGTATCTGGATGGCTGTAAGACCAGCCATGTCATTCCCGTAACCTGTGGCGCAGTCTGTGCGGCAATCAGTTTGTCCAACGCTGTGCCGGCGACCTTGCAAGGGATAAAGAAGCGGCTTGGGAAAAGCCATGATCGATGATTACTGAGATGATATGGAAAAGGAAGCTTCAACACATTGACGATATTTCAACAGGAAGACCAGGACTCAACGGTCCGGAGTTGTGGAGCTCAACGCCCGCGCCGCGATACGACGTGTTGTCACGCCTCACACGGTCTCTTGACAGAGCCCAGCGTGTTGGCCCACGTCAAAGTCGACATGATGGAGTTGGGAAAACAGAAACCGGCAGTTGCACCGTGCTGATGTGCTGCAGTGCATTGATCGTCCCTGGCCGGCTGCCGGTGCAATAGCGGCGGGACGCGTTCCGCTCAAACTATATTGTTGATATGCAACCATAGCCTATCAGTATATCAGGTGCTCAAAGAGTCTCGCGTTGTTGCTCGATGACTTTCACGTTGTTTGCGAGTCGTGAAGTAATCCACATCGGATGAGATGTGCGCGTGGATGAAGCACGCGTGACGTAGCATAAGCTGCTAACGGAATCGGGCATAGCGTTCCCATCACGAGCCATCTACGCCCGTGCGCAGCGGCGACTCAGCCATCGCCGCGCTTATCATAACAGTCCCGTCTCTCTCGCCCTGTCTGCTGTTGTCTCTTCTGCAATGTCCACAAATCATGCCATCAAACTCATCGACTCTTAATCATCGGAGCAGGCCCTTTACCATTCTCTTCGCCTTTGGCGTCTTCGCGCAGGTCGCGTTGCTTGCCTGCATCTTCTGGACTTACACTAGCTATGGCAACCCCCGTGAGCCGACCGCCTTAGCGGAAACCACAACTAAGACATCATCAAGACCAAGCGGCTTCACTCTGCGCCACCTTTTGGATCACGGCGCTGGACAACCTGGGCCACGAGCACGAAGATTCGATGTGACTCCAGAGCGGTTTGCCGTTGCTGGTATCGACTCCCGCATCGGGCCCTTCACTATCAAGTCGGCACCAGTCAAGATAGAAAGGCCCGCGTTACGTGGCTACGATGCACAGATCCCCATGTCGCCCATGTGGATCGCCGAGGATATCCCGGGTCCGGATGTCACGGACAAGAACACCGTTATCAGTTTCGCAAACATGTCCGAAGATGCTTACAAAATCGGCCCTGACGACGCAGGATGGATGGACGTCGATGGGCATTACAACTCGTCGGTCCCTTTTGGCTGGGATGACAGTGGCATCCGAGGCCATGTGTTCAGCGACGACACTAACTCCACCATCATTCTGGCGGTAAAGGGAACGACGGTAGCCATGTTCGAAGGCGACGGAACGTCCGTGCACGACAAAGAGAACGACAACCTGTACGGCTCTTGCTGTTGCGGCCAGGGCGGCACATATCTTTGGCGCAAGGTATGCGACTGCCAGACTGGCACCTACAGCTGCGACGAGCAATGCGTCAAGAACGAGTTACGGAAGCCGAACAGGTACTATGCCGCAACTGTCGAGCTGTATCAGGAGGTTGTCAAAATCTATCCGGATGCACACATCATGACGACAGGGCACAGTCTAGGAGGCGTCCTCGCTTCTCTGATCGGCCTGCAGCACGGTATCCCCGCGGTGACGTTTGAAGCATACCCACAAGCCTTAGCAGCTAAGCGCTTAGGACTACCAGCTGCTGGTGACGTTGCTCCACTCAGGAAGAATACAGGTGGCTTCCATTTCGGGCACACCGCTGACCCCGTGTACATGGGAACTTGCAACGGTGCGACGAGTTTCTGCTCTATTGGCGGATACGCCTTTGAGACCCTTTGCCATACCGGAAAGAAGTGTGCATACGACGTGGTCAAAGACTGGGGTTGGAGGCAGAACACACAGACACACAGCCTTAGATACGCCATTGACAACGTGTACATGAAGTACGACGAGGCAGCAAAATGCCAAGAAGAGGATGTTGGTTGTGTCGATTGTTACCTATGGAAGTTCGAGAACGGGACGAAAACCACGACAACGAGTACTTCTACAACACCAACAAGTACCACATCATCGAGGACGCGGACGGAGACATGTAAGACGCCTGGGTGGTGGGGATGTCGTGATGAGACTACTACGATGGTATCAACTACATCGTCCAGCGTATCAAGTACTGCAACTAGCACAAGTACAAGTACCTGTCAAACAGTGAGTTCCAGAACCTCAAAACAGTGCGAATATGACTAACTTCTTGAAGCCCGGATGGTTCGGCTGCAAAGACAAGACGACAGCTACCGGTCCTATTACGTCTGCTACGACCACTACTACATCAGCTGCACAGACAACTACTTGCACCTCGAAGGGCTGGTTTGGCAGGTGTTACGATGACGTTCCAGCGACAACCACTCCAGCCATGCAAGCTCATGCCTACTGGCGGAATGCGGCGACTGCGACACAGACGGCGCCTTAGACTTTCAGAATCTTGCATATGCTATATGGGTATCTTTCAGTAGCATGATATACCCATTTAGAATTACCAATCAATCGTCTTCGTTGCTTCTTATCATCACGCGAAGAAATGTTGCTGCATGATTCCGCCATCTGGTGGTGGCGCGAAGGATCAGTTACGTTTAGGCTAAACCCGATTTACTTGAGCCATTCCTCGCATCTCTAGGCAGCCATCAACGAGTGTGTTAAAAACAAAACGCATGCAGCACAAATTGGCCATCAAACAAGCTTTCTCTGCTGTGAACACAATGCTTGACTTTGACTTCCACCTCACAACACCTCGTCTCTTCATATCCCACCTTAACCCTGAGGACGATGCTCATTGCGATTTCGCATACGAGCTAGTGTTCAGCCCAGGTCCCGCTGAGCAGAAGCCCGCAGTCGATGCGGAAAAGACAGAGATCACACCCCCTCGCGATGTTGGGAAGAACTTCATCGCGAAGGATATTGAGAGGATGGAGCAAACAGGCTATGGCCGCTACCTGGTCTCGCTCAGACAAAACTCGGCTTTGAACATCAATTCACCGCACGAAGACGAAGACGTTCCTTTCTCGAAGCGACGCCTAACGCCAATTGGCATCGTCTCAATGCAACTCGCGCGCTTCCCGTCCGAACCGTCCGCACCAACGATCCCAGATGTCGGGTTCACATTTCTGCCCCGGTACCTTGGAAACGGGTACGCTACTGAGGCTGCAGCGGGCTTGATGGAGTACTTTACAGACGAGAAAGGACTCAAGGAATTTTGCGGTTTTTGTAAACCGGAGAATACAGCAAGCGCAAACGTTTTGAAGAGGCTGGGATTCGAGGAGAGGGGCCCAAGGGAGGTAGATGGTGTTGTCGAGGGGGAGATATTGAGCGCTTTGGTCTGGACAATTGGCGTTGGGCATGAGAAGGGCGCGCTTGAGAAGCGAGGCTTGCAACGCGTTGAGAAGCGTTCGTGGAAGTGGTGGCGTTGAAGCTATTGGGCAGGTGTATACATGACATATCTCTTCGCTAGATAGTTAGCTCAGAACACACTACTATACAGCATGCCCAATTCGATCGTGATCATGCGCAGGTGTAGTAGAATTGTCCGATGAACGCGGTGCCGGACAGACGATCGGAAAGAGTCCGCGCAATGACGTCTGTGCGTCGGCCTAAGTCTTAGCGCAAAGCAAGCCCGTCTTCAGCCGAAGCTCGCATCCGTCCGTCGCTTCAGCTTCGTCGGATGTTCCGTCGAGTGTTTCCTCTCACCACAGGGCGCAGCCGCGCGCTCTGGTAGCCGATTGCTAACTATTCGCACTCAGCTGACGCGACATTATTCCACGAGATGTCAACACCGGATGCACTGGCAACGACGCGTCAGGAGAAACGGCGCCGACTTGAGCGCGTCGCTGCGGCCTGCGACCTGTGCAAGAAAAGAAAGGTAAAGTGCGACGGTGAGCAACCATGCGCGTATTGCACTCGAAAGGATCGCGCGGCTACTTGCACGTTCAGCGGTCATCATGCGCGCCCACAAGCGCATTCTGCCGGTCACACTCCCCTTCACGGTGTCCGTTCCGACGATATCCACCGTCCTCACCCCCGTTCTACTGTCCATACACCTAATAATCGCGATCGCGATGAACAGGACGGTGCTGCGCGACAAAGACTTGATCGTGAAGCTGCCGAAGATGGAACATCACTCTCGCCAACATTGAGCAGAGATGATCAGCAAGGCGATACAGTGGTGCCTCTTGAAGGTCGCATCCTCCGTGACGCCCAGGGAAAATCCATCTTCATTGGCGACTGCGCCCCGCTGTCTTTTCTACAAACAGTCAGGCATCTCATCACATCCGAGGTGGACCCAAGAGCTACTGTGCAAGCTACACGCGACCCCATCATTGAGATCGCTCGGCCTGATTCAGCGGATCAACATTCATGTCCTCCCATTGATGTGCATCAAGTCGACGCACTAGTCGACGAGTTCATGGCTGCAAGTAGTGGCCTCGTTCAGCTCTTCCAACGAGAGGATCTTGCTCCCGAACTGAAGGCATGGGCAAGCAGCAGAAACTCCAGTTCAGACGATGCTGCAGCTGCCGTCTTCTATCTGGTCCTTGCAATCGGCGCCCAAGAGCGATTCGAGGAAAAGGCAGAAGCCTGGTTCAATACTGCTCGGGATGTGCTTTTGAAGCATATGTGCAGCAGCATGAATGTTTCGACTGTTCAAGGCTTTGCCCTCGTAGCGATTTACATGCTCCGAGCGTCTCAACCGAATGGAGCCTATTTATACTTCTGTATGTGGAGTACGGATGAACTAGCAGTACATAATGCGCTAACTTGCTCCAGCCCTGGCTGCGCGTGCCGCATACGCAATCGGCATACACCGAACGGAAGTGAACGCATCCTTTGGCGAAACCATCAAGCTGGTGCGAGACCGGATTTGGAAGAGCATTCGCGTCACCGACCAGTTGATAAGGTAAGATACAACCACAGATGTCCTCAACCAAAGTCTCATTCGTTGCGGAGTCACCACAGCTTCACCTGGTAGCACATGCTGATCCTCTGCTTCTCCATGTAGCAACGCATTAGGCCGACCTCCATCCACATCAGATGTCGATTGCACCGTTAAGTACAACACGTTTGAAGACAACACCGAAACCGATGATGCCAATGTACTGGATGCCAGCGTCCAGATCTTCATGATTATCGAGCGTGTCGTCGTTGAAGTGTATTCTCGCAAACGTATATCACTACGCATTGCAGACTATGTCTCGCGACAATTGAAGAGCTGGGCGTCCAAATGGCTGCAGAAGTTATCTCATCTTACGACCAGACCTCATTCTCGAGAAGCCGTGGTGGGCGCTTGCTCCACGCTCTGCTCCTATTACTACGGCATCATGCTACTCACCCGACCTTTCCTCATCTACGAGTTATATGAATACATGGGCGCTCCGTTGAAGAGCGGGGGCTCACAAGCTGATCACCAAGAGAAGCGCAAGTACGCAGATGCTGCACTTGATGCCGCGTCGACGTTAGTGGATACACTGCTAGTCGTTACGATTACAAAGCAGTTGCCTCGTAAGATGCCACTGATAGTGTAAGTAAAGCCATCTTGACCAACTGACTTGGCTAACAAGTACGAGATCCTGGCTCTTCACGGCTACACTCGTTCTTGCCGTCGGCATCCTTGGCGACTCAGGACTCATGTTAGTGGACAGCTGCAAAGATGCAATCACTTGCATGGACTACTTCGGTCAAGTCGACCCTCATGCCCGGCAGTATTCACAGGTAGCACAATCACTGCTCAAGATCACCACTGCACATGCCAAGAAGAGAGAGCTGCATTTGCGCCGGAAGAGGAAGCAAGCATCGTCGGAATTGTTTGGCCTATTGCCTGGAGAGTCAACTAACATTCCGGCCCAAGTGGACGAATGCGACGCACAGCTCGGCCACGGGTCGCTGGTCTCCCGAGACTCCGTTCAGCGCCACGTGTCTTCCGCAGCGCCACTCGATTGGACTATATACGATGCCGACTTCTTTGCCATGCCATGGCCGAGTGAGAACGATCAGGGTCTCCAGGATTTCCTGCAGCCGGGCACTCACAATCTTGATGGCGTATCCGTGGCTGACATACCGCTTTTCCCCATCCACGACCAGCAGATGGGCGGTGACTTCTTCCCGTAAGTTCGAGATGGATGCGATGGCGTCACGAGTGGGTTTCTTCTTCAAGGTATCTCCCAAGACACTTCAATGCACGACTTTTGTTTCACTAGTCTCGTCCCTCGACGTTCTCAAAAACGGTATCAGCTTGGTGCCTCCAGTTCCGACCAACTCTTGCGTCTTCGGCTTTTCGGCCGCCAACTCCGTCGAGGCGGAAGCTATATCTCGTCTCTTGGGACCGGTAGTGGGTTTTCCCATTCGGCTCGGTATGATGATGTACCTGGTCACCAAGGCGATGTGTTTGTCGCGGAAGCCGCTGAGCGCCGCGACTGCTTCGTTGAATGCGGTCAGAAGCTCAGTGTTGTCTGCATGGCTATCGACGTAGCTTCGAATATTTGCGATTGCTTGGACATCGTCAAGAAAGCGGGCATGGGGCCCGGGCATGTACCCACGCATCTCTGCGTGAAAGCCGCCGCTTCTCGAATGGTCGACAGAGAGGACCGCATCGAAGAACTGCAAAAGCGAAGACTGGCCGTTGGAACCACCACGATAAGCGCGCCATGTGCCTTTTCCGTTACCTTCGTCGTAGAAAACGCCGTTTGGTAGACCTGCACTCGCCATGTTCATGCTCCCAGCCAGGAAAGGTCGGATGGTATGGTAGAACATCTGCGGGTCACACCGCTCGTCCATGCGTTCCAAGAGCTGGCCAATGCGCTGCATTCCCTGTCGGAAGTATTGCAGGGCGTGTATGATCGTTGTGGCATCATCAGTCTCGACAGCTTCAATAGCACCAAGCATGGCCTCGATCAACGGGCCTGCTCTTGCTTCCATGGCATTCGAAATAATGAAGAACCACGACTCATCATCAGTTCCAGTCGCTGTGTGTAGTGCAACCATGTTCTCCGGTTGCGTCAGGTCGGCGTCTTCGTTGAGTGGTGTCCAGTTCCACAAGTTCAGAGCTGCATATGTGGCCACTGGATGCACCTCAAGATAGTCGGCAGTCTGAAGGAACGGCACAGTGATCGCTGGGGGTAGTCGCTAGCTTCCTTGTTAGCGACTGGAGACTTTACGGTGCTGCGATCTCATGCTGACATACCTCTGATGGCTCGGGACCTGCCCATATGTAGCCCTGGGCTATGACAGCGAGCATCGAGTGTGCTCTCTGCCATTCTGCCTCACTGGAGAGATGCGACGTATCGAGAACGGGCAATCCATCGACCCATTGCCGTATCTGCTGTGTCTCTATGAGGGTTGGAAGTTGCTCAACGATCTTTTCCCATGGTTGATAGTAGGTATGCGGTAAGCGTCTTAGTGGTGGCTCGGCAGGCAAGAACCCGTTCTTTGAGATGCCGTAATTAGGGAGCGCATCGGGTGATGGAAGGACGGGAATTTTGTGAGGACTCATTGCGGCGGAAAAGGTAGCGACGGTAAAGTTGCACAGTAATATCGGAAGGGTACGTCCTTCCTTGTAGCGGCGAACTCCTGCTTTATTGCGCTGAAGAGCGAGGTCCACACTCACCTACGGTTGCGTTCCGATAGTCTTCCGAGCTCGGAATGACGGAAGCAATGTCGGATGAGAGTCCGACACCCCAATGAAGAAGGTGCAAGCTTAGTTTGACGCAAGCCTCAAGCCTCTTGCTTGGAGACGTAATGGCCAGATCGTGATGCATATATAGTCTGACGCCGTCTTCTCAGCATCATTCTCACATTCGTACATCACGTTGCATCTTGTTGGTTGCCCAAGACATACCCTAACCGACAGCACATCATCACCATGGACGCACCTGCCGCAATCCAACAGCTTCGCCAAGGGCAAAAGCCACAGTGGCCAACAAACGCCGAATCAGCAGAATTTGCGCATTCGCTTGACCAAAGTGCAGACATTCCCAAGACGTTCCGACCCGAGTTCGTTGTTCCCAGCAAAGCGCAGCTAAAGCGGAAAACCCTGAACGATGACGCACAAACCGCCAACCCTGCATCAACACCAGACGACGAGGCCATCTACTTCTGCGGCAACTCTCTAGGTCTGCAACCGAAAGCTGTTGGCGAGCATCTGAACGCATACCTAAAGACATGGGGATCCATCGCGGTTGGCGGCCATTTCACCGCCCTCGAGGATTCGCCGCTCACACCCTACCAAGACATGGCTGCTGGGTGCTCAAAGAAGATGGCTGACATCGTCGGCGCATCCCCTTCAGAAATCGTTGCGATGAACACATTGACCATCAACCTGCATCTGATGATGGCTGCCTTTTACAAGCCAACTGAGAAGAAGCACAAGATTATGTGCGAGTGGCGACCTTTCCCCAGCGACTGGTATGCGATCGAGTCGCAAATAGAATGGCACGGTCTTGACCCGAAGAAGTCTATGCTACTGGTCGAGCCAGACGACGGATATATCATGACCACCAAGAACATCCTCAAGCTCATTGACGAGAACGCCGATGAGCTGGCTCTCATCATGCTGCCCGGTATCCAGTACTACAGCGGCCAACTACTCGACATCCCCACCATCACCGCACACGCCCGCAAGCACAACATCACCATCGGATGGGATCTAGCGCACGCCGCAGGCAACGCCGAGCTGAAGCTACACGACTGGGATGTTGACTTCGCATGCTGGTGCACATACAAGTACATGAACGCCGGCGCTGGTTCTATCGCCGGTGCTTTCATTCACGAGAAGCATGGCAACAACGACCACTACAAGGGGCTGAAGGGCTGGTACGGCCACGACAAGTCATCCCGCTTCCTCATGGACAACAAGTTCGTTCCTACACCCGGCGCGCAGGGCTTCCAATGCTCAAACCCATCGATCGTCGACCTCACATGCTTGGCTGGCTCACTCAGTGTATTCGAGAAGACATCCATGACTGACTTGCGATCACGATCTCTGCTCCTCACCGCATACGCTGAGCATCTACTTTCTCAGATCGCGGCGCGCAACATCAAGGACGGCAAATTTCCCTTCGAGATCATCACACCCACAGATCCCCGCTTCCGCGGCGCTCAACTGAGCGTGCTGCTGCCAGAGGATGTATTTGACGATGCGAGCGCGGCGCTAGTAGAGAACGGTGTTGTTTGCGACAAGAGGAAACCAGGCATCATTCGTGTTGCGCCAGTACCGATGTACAACACTTTCAGCGATGTTTGGCGGTTCATGCAGATCTTTGAGGAGGCGATAGGGGAGAAGGGTCAAGGGCAGGCGAAGGAGCAGCAGTCGCAAGGGACGGCGGTCGAGGCGAGATTGTAAATTAATTGTTGTTAGTTAGATATTCTTTTCGCAACACTAGACGTTAATCAGCACGATCGTTGTCGAAAGCTCTTCCATCTGTCTCTCACTTGCTTGAAACAAGCACCTCCCGCTTCCGCTGTGTATCAATATCTGTTGTGCCAAGGCCCTAACTCGCCTTCACCCCGTCTTTGGATTGCAGCGCAGTAAAGTCACGCTAGTTGCGAGATCTCCATAAGTATCGTACTCGCTGTGTCCTAGGGACGCTTTGTTTCCATCTCTCATCCAAACTCGAAACCACAAACAGCGACGACAATGGCGGGAGTGGCTAAGAAGCAGGCTCTCCGTGCGTTCAAGGGGTATGTCAATCCATACAAACCCTCTTCCCTCCAATATGGCGTAGAACAACACTGACTAGAGAATTGTACAGCTTACTCGAAACCGGCGTATACTCCGATCTCACCATCACGTGTGGCAGTGACACGTACAAAGTTCACAAGGCGGTTGTTTGCGAAAGGCTTGACTTCTTCGCGCGTGCGCTCAGATTTGGTGGACAGGTGAGTATCCAATACATCATACAATGAATGAGAACTGACTACTCGAGAAGGAGTCGCAGAATGGTGTTATCGACCTCCCGGAAGACGATGGGGCTGTTGTCAAGCTCTTGATTCAGTATTTGTATGAAGGAGAGTATGCACCGCTACTACCCGACACCAAATCATCCGCCAATCTTCAACCAATCCGTCCTCAACCTCAACCCAACGAGTCTGAACATGGGCCTTATACCTACGAGTTTCCTCATACTTGCACCGACAGGACAACCAACGGTGCATGTACTTATTACAGAAACTGCCCGCATCACACATGCAACTATCAAGAGAGCTTGAATGGTTATGAATCAGACGTTGAGTGCTGTGAGAACTTCGTTTGCAAGAAGTGCAACGAACCACCTCCACCACTTCCTCTCAACGGCGCATCAGACCAGCTTCTTCTTCATTCCAAGACGTATCAAATCGCAGACAAATACGACGTACCGGGGCTAAAGGATCTAGTGATAGAAAAGTTTCGCAGGTCCTGCGGTCACTTCTGGGATGACGATCTCTTCCCTGCTGCGGTGCGCCACGTCTTCTCTAGCACACCTTACCACGATAAAGGCTTACGCGATCTCGTCAGTGCCACGCTCAGCGATCATCTCGACTTGTTGTACAAGCCTGAGATAGAGGCTCTGGTCGTCGAGTTCAACGATTTGGCCTACGGTCTGCTAAAGAATAAGTCGGGAGCGGGTTGGCGTATGTGGGTTTGAATTGCAGTCGGTTGATCTAGCTTGATTGGAAGGAAAGGACCGCTGCCCGGTTGACTCGGGGAAATTCATCTTACCTAGGTAGCCATTGCAACCTTCCATAGTATATATCAAAAGTGGTATCTACATGACCTCGGGAGGCAATAGGCTCAAGCCATCATCACCAAGATAATTTGGTATATGGAAAACAGGTCGTGCTACTCAATAGATCCTTGTCTGGACTTTGACTATATCGACACTGTCGAAATGAGCTCACTTTCACCACATGACTAAAGAGCGCCGGAGTAAAGTGGCGCCGGCCGCAAAGGTTGGGGAAAGAACCACCCTCCACCCGTGGACATCTTCAACGTCATCTCACCCGTGGACACCTTCAATGTTTTCTCACAAGTGGAGACCTTCAATGTCCTCTCGCCCGTGGACACCTTCAATGGCCTCTCACCCCACACTGCAATCTCAATCAACGATAGATATGGAGTCAACTGCGCAAGTGAAGCTGCTTTCAGCTGTCAAGAAGTGAGTGAGGTCACACGAAATGATCAACCTCAAAGCTAATAGCCTTCAGTCTGCTCGACACTGGCGCGTTCTCCGACCTCACTGTAACCTGCGGTTCAGATACCTACAAGGTCCACAAGAACATTGTGTGTTCGCGTGTGGAGTTCTTCGCTCGTGCCATGAAGTTCGGCGGCAAGGTGAGTTTATTGGCCTTCAAACTGACCGAGTATTCGTTGACACGACCATAGGAAGCTAAGGAGGGTACTGTCGATCTGCCTGATGACGAACCTGCCATTATCAAACTGTTGTTCCAATGGATCTATAAGGGCGAGTATGGGCCTAGCGAAGACAAGACACCGGCGTCTCCTGCAGTTCTGGAGTCAACCTGGCTCGTCTCGATGCGTAATTATGCGGCTGCGCGACGCGATAGGGATTCTATCCCACCTCATATGAGGAACGAACCAGAGATCAGCGATTCAAGGATCCCCCACACCTGTCTATTCGAAGGATGTATGGAAAAGGTCTGCCAGCACCATACCTGCGGAACCGATTGCGAATACGAGTGCGTTGGCTTCCTTTGCGGTATCTGCAAGCCCATCACAGGAGAAGCCAGCAACAAAGCTGAGGCGCTTCTCATCCACGCCAAGATGTACGAGCTTGCCGACAAGTACAGTATTGCGGACCTCAAAGATCTTGTCAAGGAGAAGTTCCAGCTCGCTTGCCGGCTGTCGTGGGACACTCCTACGTTCGCCAACGCAGCTCACTACGTCTTCTCTACCACCCCAGATCAAGACAAAGGCCTACGGGACATCGTGGCCTCCACTATCACTAGTCACGCGAAGATACTCTTGGAACGTCCGGATATTGAGGCTCTCTTGAGTGAGTTCAACGATCTAACCCTTGATCTACTCAAGGCCCAGGTGTTTATGGTATCTTTCGATGACGAAGGACAGAGGTTGGCACCTGGTGGTCACGAAGGGTGGTCGTCACTCCGCACAATCGGCTCATCATAGAGACAGCAGGAAGACGATCTTGCAGTTGGGAGTGAAGCAAACGAAGAACATGAAACGTACGAAGACGCCTCGACATGTAACGCCATCCTGATGGCTCAAGTAGACACCGCTACCAAATCTACCGCATAGTCCTCATTCCATGCACATACATCGTTTCGTCCTCCCACGAAAGCACATTCATTCCTCATACCCTCCCCATCTACTGCAACCTCACCTCCCCCTCCCCCGTCTTAATCCCAAACTTACTCAACCGAATCCTCGGCACAACCCCCACCAACACTAACACACTCGCAACAATAACAGCCCAATGCTGCACATGCGCCAAGTTCAAATTATACGTCGTCCACGTCGCCGCGCAAATCGTCGCAAGCCCCAACACCGCAATAACATACCCCGCCACCCTATGATACTTATAAATACTCTTCGCGTTCTCCACGCTACCATAAAGCTGCGGTACATAATACTGCGTGAACCCCACAATCGCCTGGATATACACAAGGATATAAAAGGTAAGGCCGAGGCGTGCGTGCGCGGATTCAAAGTGTTCGTGGCCCGGGCCGGCTTTGTTCATTTCGATGATGATGAGGCCGGCGGTGAGGGCGGAGGCGCCGAGCGCGTGAAAGAGGAAGTGGGCGAGGGTGCCGGCGCGCTTTTGTTCGGGGGTGTGGGTTGGTTGGAGGACGAGGGCTGCTTGGATGGCTAGGAGGAAGCCGGCCTAGGGGGTATCAATGATACGGTTGGCGGGAGGGGGTGATTAGGGTGGTGTTGTGGCTTACGGAGTTGAGAAGCTGCGTGGTTGGGTGGTTAGTTGGTGGTGGTTTAGGTTTGGGGCGTGGGGATGGGGCTTACTGGGTGGGCGGAGAAGAAGATGAGTTTGTTGGAGAAGATGGCTCCCCAGATGATGGCTGCGAGCTTTTGACGCGTTAGTATGGGCGTGGTGTTGGAGGTGTTGAGGTGCTTACGATCCATATTCCTGCTTGCGCGATTGGAGCGGTGCCTGAGTCTGTTAGAAGCCTTCCTTACAGCGTATGCTTGACAGCACATACCAATCCACAGGTTATGGTAGAGAGGCTGCCCATGCATCTGGCTGGCATCTCCTCTTCTGCCTAGAAGTGGCTCTTGTTCACTCTGTCCGCGCGCCGCGGCGGCATTTGGTGGGATTCCCGTCGCAGAAGCCATGCTGTGATGTAGAAACTCAAACGCGATGCTATGAATAGCCTGAGACTTGAGAGAAGGTCGAAGGATATAGTGGCAGCCTGCGACAGGTGTCAGAGGGATGCGCTTCGGACTTTAGGCGATGAGGAAGCTCCGGCAGACAATGACGACAACACGAACCCCTGTTCGTATCCACCAATTAGCGCGATGCGGATGTCAGATGCATCCAACTCCGGCCAATCAGCGCCGAGATGACTAAAGCGTGGAGAAAGTGGTGATGTTTGCATTGCGGGTTTTGGGGGGTGGAGAAGGCGTTCTTGACGCGAGATGCATGTCTAGCGCGTCCACAACGGTCGCGTGAGACATCTTCATCGCACCACCAGACGCAAATGAGGAAGCTGAGCATCGGTATTGGTGGTTTGAATGTATTCTCGTCTCCGTTACATCGTTGCTATTGTACAAGTTTGCGCTCATCCGTAGCGCTGCGTCAGCATAGTCATCCCCGCTGCGTGTTGAGGTATCAAGTCCATGTATAATATCCCCCCTCTTTCTATCCCAAGGCAGAGTTTGCTGCCATAATGCCGCCTAATGAACCATACCACGGGGAATCATCCTCCACCAGCTGCGTTCGCTCCAAAGTAACAATACGCCGTCAAATGCTCATGCATTCGCCTTGAAAACATTACATCCATTAACAATCCAACTGCATGACCAAACTAAGGATATGAGATGCGAGAAGCATCCCAAGTAACAACCAGCGCCTCTAGTGCGATGGTAGTAACGTAGACCACTGTCATGTCCGGTGTGCCTAGTAGCACGTCCAGTGGCTCCCCAACTGCGCCGTTCGCTGATGCAGGTAGGAGCAAAATCGAGTACCGTGCCTCGATACAATGTGTACGTGTGCGTAAAGGTAAAGTCACCCACTCTCACTTCTTCTTCATGAGAGCAGGCTGTTTCGAAGGGTCGGCCGGATCCAGGAACTTGGTCATGGCAAGAGAGAGTTCTTTGAACTCCACCGGCTTCGTGACGTAAGAGTTGAAGCCTGCTTCCACGCACTTTGCGTAAACATCACCGAGGACGTTCGCAGAGAGCGCGATGATAGGGTGGCGGCGGTAGCTATGCTTCTTCTCCCACCGCCGTATTTCTTTGCAAGCTTGGTACCCGTCTTTGTTGGGCATGTGTAGATCACACTGGACGACGTTAGTACTGTCCGAAAGAAACAGACGTTGCTACTTACGAGGATGATCGAGTAATAGCCGGGTGGCTTTGCAAAGACGGTATCGGTAGCTTGAACACCATCCTGTACCGTCTCTGTTTCAATGTCGATCCTGGCAAGGAATTTCAAGATGACCTGAAGACTATCAGTATGCGCAAGAAGTTACATGTAGAGGCCACTAACCGTTTGGTTGATCTTGTTGTCTTCGACCAGCAAGACCTTGTGGTTCTTGCCACCCACGCGACGCTTGAGTTCTTCAAAGACGAGCTTTTGGCTGACAACGACCTGCTGTGCGCTGTCTTGATTGCGATCCGTGCTAGACTCACGCTCCTTCTGTGGGTCAAAGATGATGGCAAACTTCGAAGGTTTGAGAGGCCGGTAGATGAACTGGAGGCGTCGATCCATGTGAAGCTGCTCGTAGTCATAGACCGGTGCTTCTTTGATTAGCTCCTTCTTCTGTGATGGATCCGAGACTACGACAACGGATGTGTTGCCGTACGCCATGGAGCTGAAGATCTGGTCCACGATGGCGTGCACCTCGGCAGTGTCGTGCAGCACGAGAACAACATGGGTGAATAGCACGGGATTGTCGCCGCCCATCATCTTCTGCGCCTCGATGACGCTAGCTTGACCCGTCACTTGATGAGGTATCCCTTGAGGAAGTGTGTTCCTGATGTGTCGGATCGTAGCTTCCCTACTATGCTCCAGTGGGCACACCACCAGAATAGAATACATGGGAGGTTGTAGAGCACTGCCAAGCGGTGACAGACTACGATGGGGCGAAGACGCACGGAGGGTCTTGTCCGAATTGATGGAGGTGGAAGAGTCGGGCTTGGGGGCTTCCTCGCTATCGGTTCGTTTGGGTGGCAGAGCTAGTTTGATATCCGGGTCTGAAGCTGGGCTGGCTTCTTGCAGGTACGAAGACGCAGAAGATCTTTCCGAACGCAAGCTCGACTGTCCAGTAAGAGCGGCACTTGTCAAAGAGTGATCCGAGCTACCAGAGGAGAGGGACGGAGAGTCGCGCGAACGCTCAGAGGCTGACAGACTAGATGCAGGCGACCTGACAGGTTCGCTCTTGTCCGAGGAGACGCTTGATACGCGCTTGATCGGTGCTTGGCTAGGATTTTGTGACTGAACAAATTTCTGCAGAGCCGAGGGCTGGGGTAGTGGAGGCACTGCTGGCACTGCCAGCGGTGTCTCAAAAGCTGGCGTGCCTGGTGTCGACACCTGCGGCCTGGGGAAGTCGTCGGCAGTGGGAAGCCCAAACTTGATCGTGAAGAAGAAAGTCGAACCCTTGCCTGGCGCACTTCGTGCATCCATTCTACCTCCATGTAGCTCCACGAACTGCATAGAGATAGCCAAGCCGAGTCCTGTTCCGCCATGTTGCCGGGTACTGCTGGCGTCGATCTGACTGAATCGCTTGAACAAGTATTTGGCCTCAGCATCTGTGAAGCCTTGACCGGTGTCCACCACTTCGAACCGAACCATGGTCTCGTTGTCTCGCAGGGGCCGAGATCGATCGGGTGGTTGCAATCTGCATCGGATAAAGATCTCTCCTCGCTCGGTGAACTTGATTGCATTGCCAACCACATTGAGAAGAACTTGGCGAATGCGGAACTTGTCACCCTTGACCTCTGCTGGCACACCTTCGTCCACAAGGTAGTTGAGTTCAAGGCCTTTCTGTATGGCTAAGCCCATATTCAAGTCATTGACCTCTTCAAGAAGCGACGGCAGATGGAGCCATTCCATGGACAGCTTGATCATACCGGCTTCGACCTTTGACAGATCGAGAATGTCGTTGATGAGGTTCAGCAGACTGTCGGTACTAGCTTTTATGATGTTGACATGCTCCAACTGCTCAGAGTTGAGCGTGCTGTCAAGCAGGAAGTTGACCATGCCAGAGATACCGTTCAGAGGAGTACGGATCTCATGAGACATGTTACTGAGGAACTTGGACTTTGCATCCATGGTTTCCTTCAACGTCTGCTCGAGCAGCTTGTGGTCATTGATGTCGGTAGCTGTGCCATACCAGGTCTCTTCATCGCCGTCTTCAGAGAGTGAATTCTCTAACAAGATCCTGACCAGATGCCACCTGTAGTCACCGTCTTTGTTGCGAAGTCGCACTTCGGTGGAATACGATGCCCGTCCATCTGCATCCTTTGCAACCCTGAGAATACCAGTGCTTGCTAGTTTGGACAACTTGGCCTGAGGCATGTCCATGCGGTCTGGTACTGATCCACCTGGGCTAGTGATTGTTCGCTCAGTCTCCGATGAAGCGTCCGATGAGTTTGAGTCGGTTCTACCGTGATCTGCTGGCATCGAAGTGGGCACATTGGCGACTCCGTGTTCATCTAACTCGGGGAGCTTGCACTTGACAACGTCATCAGGGTGCACATGCTCCAAGAAGCCGTTACCCAGGGCATGGATCTCACTCTGGCCAGAGAAAGAAATCCATTGGGAATTGCAGAACGTCAAACCCCTGCGATCGGACACGACAAACACAATCTGCGGGCTCGAGTTCGCCAGCGCGCGGTATTTGGCTTCCGACGCGGCCGTCTCCTGTTGTCGGGCAGAATTGAGTTCAGCAATATGCTGTTCGTGGAAATCCATGTTGGTGCCAATCCAGTGAACAATCTGTTGGCGCTTGTTCTTGAGTGGGGCGACACGAACGTAGAACCATCGGTAGTGGTGATCAAACCTTTGCAATCTCACCTTCTTCTGCAATTGCTGACCAGTGCGTAGCGATCTGCTCCACTCCTCCAGATACGAATCGCGATCCTCCGGGTGAATTGAATCCCATGGGTCTTGCAACACCTGCCGTTGATCCTGGCCTCTATAGATCAGGAATTTGGAGTTGACCCAAGTGATTGCTCCGGTATTGGGAGCGGCGGTGAAGATCTGCACCGGTAATGAGTCGGTGATTGTCCGGAGCAGACTTTCTGAAGGAGGTGGCATGTCAGACGTTTCGGTGATGGACGGTCTCCTCACATGTCCATGCGGGGCCTGAGGCGGCTTCCCACCGGGTGTTGTCGCCGATTGCAAGGACTGGAATGACGAGCTGAAGTCTGCACCGTATGAGTGCAAGAACGAATGGCCTCGGTTGGAGTTGCTCTGCATCTGGGCGCGACGCGTGCTCAACGACTCGTCTGGCTTATCGCTACGTGCCTTGGAAGCATCGTCATTGGCCTGTTCAGCTACTGGGTTTACAGTCACTCGCTTTGCAGGACGCTTGTCTGTCTTGCGGGCAGCTTGTTCATGAGGCGTCGAAGTTGGGGCGTTCAACGTTTTGCCATATTGTTTTCTCGCATCGAAGTAGCTTTCAACCGCTTCGCTACCTGCAAGTTGGCCAGGGGTACCGCCCACGGAGTGTCTGCTCGAAAATCCGACGGAGGAAGTGTCCCAGCCAGGTGTTCCGGCGATGGAGTCTCCGGGACTGTGCTTGGATCGACCCGAGTAGTCGGAAGGACTAGTAACACTGCCCGCTGCTGAGTTGGTGATGTCTTCCAGATCAAGGTGGAGCAGATCGTCGAGGCTATCGGAATCCGAGGGGAGGCTAATGCCGCCAGAAGTGCCAGCTGTCATGCGCCGCTGTCGGACCGACGCGACTTGAGCTTGAGCGTTGGTGAAGTGCCAAGAATTGGAGAATGACGTAGCAAGGTGAGGGCCAAGGTGCTTCAATGAGTTGGTAAGGTTCCGCGGATATGGCACGATGGGCGACAGTATGGAAAGAATCGCAATGGGCGCTTTCCGCACAAAGCCCTCCTTGTTCAGCGACGTTGACATGGATTGTTCGGACTGTCTCCGCGTCATTGACGGCGTTTGATTTGGCGTGGAGGTTGCTGGAGACGCCATGATCTGAGATAGAATGGGATGCACCAGAGGTATGTGTGTAACTGTACTGGCTTTGTCAACGCCAATGGCCTCAACCATGCCAAATTGCGTGTAGTCTTGAGGTGAACGCGACGGGTTGAATGTCTCCTCGTCGACATTGCCTGTAGCGAAGAACGGATTGGCATCAGCATCATTCTGGATAGCCGGGGACGGGGCGGGCGACTGTGCCCATGGTGAGCTTGGGTACTGTTCGTACTCTTCATAGCGTTGCGGCAGGCGGGGATCATTCGTAGCCAGATTGGCACGGCCACGAGCGGCGGCCGCTTTGTGAGCTTCTTGTGCAGCAGCACTACCCTGTATCGCAGAAGGTTTATTCTGTTCCGATTTGTCCTTACCCAAGTCCTCTTTAGATGTCGAATGCGAAGTCGAGTAATCTCTAGTCAGAGTGACCAAGCGCCCTCTCTCCAAGACACGGTTAACACCGGTGTTGTCGATGAGGGCATCTGGCTCGTGATCGAGAGCACGCAGTACATGGTACACAGCGCTGGGCGGCGAAGGCTCGCCCACACTGGAGAATTCTGGGTCGCTAAAGGTAGGTCCACCTGTTGGTGTCGAGCCAGCGAATGCGGGAGAGGCGCCATCAAAGGAAGCCTGTGAGACCTGCCTTAGCGGATGCTCTGGCCTGGCAGCCATATGGGGTGCGTGGCTGGCAGACCTCATTGGACCTCTTGGCCGGTTGAGCGACGCCGGTGTGGGCGTATCTGGACCGGCGCTGGACTTCTGGCGTTCGTGGCCCGCGAAGGAGTGATGCGAGAATAGCTTTGGTCTGCGTTCCGGGATCGTGGTGGAAGGAGGCATGTCGGCATGTTCATAGTCGCGTGAGCTTGGGTTCTCTTCCGACTGGAAATGGCTTGCTGCTTCCTGGTAGGTGGCTGCATGCGGGCTTCCCTCGTTCCCCATGGCAGTAAAACTAGTCTTCTGGCCCCATGGCACGTTCTCGATATCAGACGCATCCGCTGGTACTGCCAAGGTGGCTCTTTCCGCTCCATAGTGGTCGCGCATGATGGACGTTACCGCCGTCCACCAAGCAGCAAGGCCGGGCTCGGCACCCAGGCGCAGTACGATGTCGTAAAGATTGGGACTCGGGAATCGCGGGTCTTCTGCATCCGGGCTCTGGTAGTTCCTTCCTCCGGGGGCGAAGGGCGTGCTTGATGCGGCGGGGGTGCTGCTCTCGGAGGCGATGCGCTCTTGCGGGGTCGCGTACTCTCGCGACTGCCCCGCTGCTACCGTGGGCGACAGGCTGGTGAAGGGCATGTGGAATGCCGAGGCCCATCGTGGCGTGTTTGGGACTGAAGGGAAGGGGTAGGATGGCGTTCGAACGGCATGGGTGGCGGCGGGCGTGGGTGGCATGCTGCCGCGAATGGTCCTCGCAGACTCGGTCGATTCGGTCGACGTGGTAAGGCCCGTAGGGAGCGGCGGGTTCGGGCTCGGGGTTGGACTGATAAAGGCGCCCTCGAGGGTGGGCGAGATGCCCGGCATGGGTTCCTCCTTGATGGGCGATATGCGGCGAGAGCCCAGCGCGACAGCGGAATTGTTGGACGAGCTCCGCATGCGCGCCCGCTGCTGTTGCTGCAGCATCTTCAGCTGCAGGCCGCGCAGGCGTTCCACCTCCATCTCGTCGGGCGAGGCCTCGCTCAGTGGCGCTTCTTCCGCGGCCAGCTCGTCGGCACCAGCGCCTTCGTCCTCGTCGCCCGGCTGGCTCTCTGCCTCGCTCAGTTCGCTGTCGGTGGCGGCATCGTCGCGGGGTTTGCTCGGGGTCCGGGTTCCGGGCGAGGGCTGCGAAGTTTGCGACTGATATGTCTTCGCGTCGCTGGCGGCCAATCTCTGCAGTGGCGGGCGCGTCGTGGGTGGCGGCGCAGTCTCTCTCTTGGGATTAGGAGAGGGTGACGGGGCCTTTGTCATTATTGCATTCCCCAGTCTCCCACAGAACGCGCAGGTGGTGTCGTGATGGGGTCGAGGCAGCGGCGGGCATAGATGGGATGGTGAGCTATGACGTCGCGGAATGTGCTCCTGGCAAGAATGGACGGTGAAGCGGCCTCAGCACATAGACAGGTCAACAACACGACTTAATGGCCACCAGTGGTTTCGCACTGTCAGACTGCCAGCAGAGGCCGAATCCCACCGGAGCGCAGAGACAAGCTGGGAGTGCTTGGTGAGTAAGAATCAGGTGGTGGGCTCATGCCAGGATCAGGAGCAGGATAGCCTCGCGCCCGTGGGCTTCAACACACGCCCGCATACACTTACAGAAACGTCGAGGCCGCGCACTGCACGCGTTGGACAAAAGCAGTTTGGATGGATCGTGGATCGCGTAAATGATGTGTATTGGCGCGAGGGACCGTCTTGCTCCTGTCTCATTCCAGCCGCCCGCTTGGACGAAATTGACTGTTGGCTGCGAGCCGCTAGATCACGGCCAGCGACGTCATCAGGGTTTCTCGATACTCCAGCCGCGCCTATGCCGATCTGGAAACCTCCAGCGACGCCCAACCTCCACAGCCCGTACTCACCGCACCGCATTCTCCCTCTTCGCTGTCTCTACATCGTGATCCTGCCTTCACCACCCATCCCCGTCGACCGCTCTTGGGGCGCTCTACATGGCGTCAACTACTATTTTAGCGATGGCCAACGGGATGCCACGTTTCCCCATTGGATGGGTACCCCTGCACATTTCCAAGACGGTTTCCCATGCCGTCCCAACCCGGCTAGCGCCAGCAGCTTTCCTTCCGGAAGCCTGAGAGACGCTCGACGCACCACCGTTCTCGACACTACTCAAGAGCCTCACTAGCGACGCTGCTGTCCCTCTCTCGATTGACGTGTTGAATACGCTATCCCGCAAATTTGGCCGTCCTGTCGCGTCTCGGCCCGAATCTGCGCCTGCCTACAAGTAGCCCATGGAGCCACTTGTGGTGTCATTGTGCTGGAGGGCGGACCATGCGGCTGGATCTTGCAGTATACCAGAGTACACTAGGAAGCCTCAGCGGCTTTGGCGCTTCCATTCTTCTAGCTCCTGTCAAATGCGGCGGGGCGGAATCCCAAGACAACGTGCGTGGTAACAATGTGCCGAGCAGCTGCCATGCGAGACACGCTGCCCTCCAAACTTTAACAATCTCTACCCGTCAGCTGGCGGGTACCTGCCTCACGTGCGAACACCACGGCTGACAGGTACCCACCGCCATGCCCGCGTCACCCTCGGCAGAGGTATCGTGAGATCAGATAATGCCTGTTCGCAGCCCTGTACTCGCAATCTATCATCATCCGCGACTTACCGCGCTTCCGTTCCGACGCTCGGAACGACTACCCCAACCAATCATCATACAGAGGTCTTCGAACGGGTACCTTACATTGCCCATTACTACCCAACGCAGATCTACAGACAATCCCAATATCGAGACGCCACAGCCGTCTTCGGTGAGGATGATCTTTGTGCGAACCGTTATCCAGGGTCCGCGGAGCTTTACATATGGAACAACTGCAACCACGGTACGCAATCGCCGATCAGATCGTGATGATCGCCACCCCAATGACGCGAACCTGAACGTTTGAGGCGCGCGTAGCCTATCCGTGCGAGATCTTGCACCACACGTCTCCATGAAGAACTGTGATTATTACTAAAGAATGAGATGTTTCGCATATTCAATGGTATATGAACAAAGGACCATCTAGATTTTACAAATACCATCCTGCGCACCAGCATCGGATTTAACCTTACGGCACAGACCACGCGGAAGTGTCTCGCCATTTCCTGCGCCAGTACGCGAACATGAACAACAACACTCGCCATACACGATATCTCCCAAATCAAAGGGCCAGCTACCATGCGATCCAATCGAATTCACTTTTGCGTCACCGGAAGGTAAGCGGGTAAAAAGGCCAAGCGAATGACAAATACATCTACTACTAAACTTCCAGCAAGCCTCAAACACACCGACAAGACATCACCGCTCATTCAACAACCATCAATGAAACGACCGCACACCACATCGATCTAGACACTTCCAGCGCTTTGAACATCCTCGTCTTTTCCAAGACCTCTGCGAGTATTGGCAGTGCCCTCACCACTTCCAGCACACAGGCTCAAGATCATGTTCCCCTTGAATTCACCCCAACACTGTTTCGTCGGCTCATGCTCCCTCGTCCTGTCGAAGTTGTAAATATCGCGACACTCCCCTTCGCAATCAATCTCCGGACACGTATTCTTGATACCCGCCTCAGGCTCGAACTTCAAAGTCAGTCCGCCCTGGTACCCGGGACACTGATCTGTCTTGGCCTTGTAGTCCGCATCCGTGGCAGTGAAATCGGTGCCGTTGTGCTTAGCCGGTTGACCGCAGTCCAGAAGCGAGATGTCATACCAGAGTAGAGGGTATGGTTGTGGAGCTTTGGGGTTGTAGGTAAGGGCGTATTCGAATTGTGTGGTGTCTTTATTGCCAGGTTTGTCTGCCCAGGATATCTTGATTGAGATTCCTTGACCCCATAGTTTGTCGGTGTCTGGGTTGTTACCTTTGATGTTGTCCGGATCGGGGGATACCCACGTGCTACGGAAGCCTTCGCTGTATGTCTCGCCAGGAGCGATGGGGTATACGACTTGCTCTTCTGGTGTGCTATAGGTCGTATTGCTTCCGTTCAGTCGGAATCCGCCGATGGTGTTGATGTTGACGGGAACGGAACACTTGTTCACGACGATGGCATTACCGAATTCGCAGCCCGTATCCGGCGTATTCACAGGGCCGTAGTCGAGAGTTTCGTGAGGTTGGGGTGCGGCTTTGGTAGCAGTCGGCGATCCACCCGCAGCCTGACTCGATCCGGCCAGCGCGGTCACCACATGAGACGCGCTACCAGGAGGAACACCAGGAATTACACCAGCTGGTGCCATGGAGGATATCGCTTCGAACGCTGAACTCATAGCCATCGTTCCTTCGATCGCCGAGCCCGATCCCATAGGCGTCGCATTGCTGAGGTTGATCAAGTTCACGAGGAAATAGGATGCCATCATGACTGAGAAGCAGATTTCGTTGAAGGTAAAGTGGTCGAGTCCCAGAATCATCGTGGCGGTTTAGTGTGGAGGACGAATAGTATCGGGCTATGAGTATTTTATCGTCTGCGTAGTGTAGATAGATATTGATAGCGAAGAGTGCAGTGTTTTGCATGTAGGAGTAGATCTGAGGGGGAACGGTGTATGTAGGAAGTTGAAAGCAGCGAGAGAAGTTGAAATATATTTACTCTTTCCGCCATGAGTCTTCGATCATGACTTGGAGTGATGTAGAAAGTGACTGGTGTTGACAGATACCGAATTGACTCCCATTATGACAACGTTTCGCTAAGAATCGACACTTTACATGAATGTAAGAGTCATGAACATGGGCTGGTATACCATCAGATCTCTCTTCCATCCCGTATCCTACCCGAACCCGCAAGACTTTTCCGCGCGCTTACCCGCAAGGTCTTCTTTCCCATCATCCACCAACCTCGAACCACTTGAGCAGCTTAACGTTATACTCCTCAAACCCACCAACAAGATCCTCCGCAGATATATTCGGCGGCTGCAGCAGTGTAGCATAAAAGCGGGCTAGACAGTCCGCAAAAACCGCACTATCCGCGAACCACTCTCCGCGCTTCTTAGACTCATCCACAAAAAGTCCCAGCTGACGATGCGCAGTCATAGCCGGCAAAGACTCCTTCCAAGAAACCGATCTCAAAGCCTGTTTATAAGCCTGCCAGTCCGCACCAGCCTTGCCCTCTTACTTGGTAGTCTCTCTGAATTCTCTTAGCTTTCCGTGGATTTCGTGCCATAGCTGCATCGCTTCGTAAGCCTTGCTAAAGGTAGGGCCTAATGCCATCTTCATTCTTTCGTACGTCTTGGGCGTGTATATGTTGTTTACATATGGCTGGAGCTTGGACAGAGTGGAGTGTTGCGGGTTTGGGATCTGGAGTACTTCGACTAGCTCGTCGAAGGCGAGGTTTTGGAGGTGTTTCTCCTTTTCTGAGGTGAGGTTCTCGGAAGAACCTTGGTCATCGCCGGCATGTGTTGGTTCATGGTCCGGTTTCTCCTTTTCTGCGTTAAGGTCCTTGAGAGGTTTTTGATCCCCGCAAGCATGTGCTGGGTCATGGGCCGGTATCTCCTCCTCTTGTTCTGGGACTGGAAGCGTGTGTATGTAGTCTAAACTCGTATGTTTGCCGAGATCGTCATAGCTGACTTCCGTATTAGAGTGAGGTGAGATGGGGCTGATAGAGGGTTGCTCAAGGAGCTCTAGACATGTATTTGCGAAATCGCCTTTCTCTGGTGTCGGTGTGACTGAACCGATGGGCGAAACTGCTTGCTGCGTCTTCCTCGGATACAAGAATCCTACGTCGCTTTATCTTTCGGCTGGCTAATTCGGAGCTCATTGTGGGCCCTTCTGCAGCCATCGTCCCCCCATATGAATCCGTACCGCCTTATTAAGCTTTGAGCATCTTGCTTGAAGCAGCTGGGCCTTGTGAACTCCAATCGTATGTCCGGACAGCCGGCTAGCAATTGGATATGAGCCGCCACAGCTTCCGAGATATCTGCATACAGTCGATGTATGTCGTCGCTTTGAAAGGAATGGGAATAATTACTGGTCCTGCTCCCTTCACTATAGACAGTCAAACCCAGAGCTTCCAGATACTCTTTCAGTGCCCTCCTTTCCCTGAGACAATCGAGGAGCGGATTTACCCCATGTCTTTCCAGCTCCTCTGTAACCCGTGTCGTACTTCCTTTCGACTTTCTATTTGCGGCGCACGGCATTGTAGATGGCATACTGGGTTTTTACGATCCGCATTGGAAAGGCCTCGGACCTATGGCTGATAAGATAAGGCGCTAATCCTAAGAGGGAATGAAGGGGAAGCAGAAGACTGGGATCCCTCATCCTGTCTGAGTCTCTATACAACAA